AGAAATTGGCCATACCATTCAGCTTCATCTCTGAGAGCTACTGCATCAGCCTCCTTCTGGGCCTCCTGAACCATTTTTCCTACTCATTAGAGTCGTATAACAACATGGCCCCATCAAGGGACGTTGTGAAGTGTGAAGTGCCACATGTGTGTGAACGCAGCCTTGCTGGTGGGATTCTGCTGCTCAGGAACCTGCAGCTGCCTGCCAGATCAACGCCTAACTCCTCTTCTCAAGTTCACTCACAGAAATTCCCAGTTCCACCTGTCCAACTCCATTTCCTAGCTCAGGTCCCCAGGGACCCCCCACTCCAGGCAGGCTGGATGTCAACCAGCAAACCCACACAGTTCTCTGCTATCCTAGCTGTGTGACTTTGGCTAAGATATTTACATTTTCTGTGGCTCAGTTCCCTGAACTCTGAGGCAGGGATCAGGGTAGTGTCTAACTCACAGGGTTGCTGAAAGGAGTGAAGTCAATACGGATAAAGTGCCTAGAACAGTGCCTGAACACAACAAGCACTTGTTACCAGTTAGCTCCACTGCGTGTTATCATCAGCGCAGATTCATGGAGGGTACAGAGAGAGATCAGATGCAGATCGTCACCTTTAAACAATTTCTGGATTAGCAGGGTGATGAGTTACATAGCCACCTGCATGGTGGATGGAGGAAGGACATGGGAAGGTGAGGGAGCTCCTTCCCTTCCCCATGTTTCTGTCCTCTTTGCCTCTTTACCAGCTTGCTCTCTCAAGACTGCAAAAACTGGTCAGAACTCAATGGTCAGAAACTCACTGACTGGGCCACTTTACAATCATTCAGATCATTATGCCTTAAGATAAGCAAGCATACATGGCTCTTTCCGGTCCCAGGCAGGGTCTGGCCCCAAGGCCAAGTCAGGTACCATCATCTTTTGTGGCTGGCTGGGTTAAGGCTCAGGATCTGTTCCTCAAACCTGGCCATCTGAGCAGCAGGGAGATGGGAGTGGGAGGCTTCCCTTGGGACCTAACCCCAAGCCAACATCTCACACAGTTCTTTGCTCTTGTCTTTTCCCCAGAGAATCCACAGAATGGGTATTTGCCCATGATCAAATGGTAATCCACTGCATATTCTACCGTTGTTCAGAATATATAGATTCTGGTTTGAGAAGCTCAAGGGAAAGAGGTGTGGGTACAAGTACCGAGACCCTATCCAGACTCTTGAGTGCTGACAGCCCACAGGTCATGGCAAGGTTAGGAGTGTGCCCTGGGAGAATAGCTTATTGGGCCAGGATGGGAGGGGGAGAAAATCAGGGAAGGCTCCCTGAAAGAGGTGGCATTTGAGCCAGGACAGCAAAGATAAACAGTGTAGGCTAAGATAGTGAATTCTGAAAACCAGCATAGTTAAAACAACACATAATTTAAATTTAAAAAGTGAGTACATGAAGGGGTGATCAGAGAAACCAAATCAGGCAATGCACAGCTTCTGGATTGGGGGGTCCTGGGCAACCAGACAGAAGAGAGATGGTCTGTGGACAGGGTCAATAATGGTCAGTGGGTCTCTCCCAGCTTCACTGAAATCCTTATTCCACCCTCTTGCTCTAATTCCCTTTTTCTAGTTGCACACGGCCAAGCCAGCTCTTCATTACAAACTCAATTTCTTGGCTATTTGGAATCTGTGAAGTGGGGATTCTGCATGGAAGAAACCAGTGGCCTGATTGCCTCAAAAGGACAAATCTGTTTATTCTGTTGGGAAAAAAGAACAGTTTAGGGCTGGGTCATAGTTCAGTGGTGGAGCATTTGCCTAGCAGGTATGAGGCACTGGGTTCGATTCTCAACATCACATATAAATAAAATAAAGGTCCATTGACAACGAAATAGACACACACACACACACACACTCCTAAAGAATAGTTTAAAGGCACGATTCCACTTGCCACTTCCTCCAAAGCAATCAGCCTGTGTCCTCCTTCCCCACTGAATCTAAATCCACCCTAAGGAGGGTCACCCCCTGCCTCCCATCTCAAGTCCATCGGCTACCTGGAGTGCCCATGCCTTCTTGCTCATGGTGGTTTGGGACACTGTTTCCAACCCCTTCTGTCTCATGGTTTTGCCTCTCTGACAGTCCCTTTTAAGACAGTGTCAACAATGGTTTTTAAGACTCCCTCCTCAGAACTTATAGGGCGAAAGCCCAGGTCCAGGGTAAACTAGCAGAGGTGCTACCCCTGAGAGGTCCCCCCACAAACATCCCCACCAGCTCATGGTAGGATTTGTATCTGAAGAGGAAGTGAGAAACTGTCAGAGGGCAGGGCAGAAGAACAGGAAGTGGGCACTTAGGGCAGGTGTTATTATAGTCAGCTTTTTCACTGCTGTGACTAAAGGAGCTGACCAGAACAATGATAGAGGAGGAAACGTTTATTTAAGGACTCACAGTTTCATAAGTCAATCCATATTCAGCAGACTCCATTCCTGGGGCTCAAGGTGAGGCTGAACATCATGGCGGAAGAGTGTGGCAGAGGGATGGGGTTCACAGGATGATCAGGAAGCAGAGAGAGTCTTCACTCTCCAGATATCCCAAAGCCAGGCCCCCAGTGAACCACTTCCTCCAGCCACAGCCCACCTGCCTCATCACCACTCAGTTAATCCCATCAGGGATCAATTCACTAATTAGGTTAAGGTTGTACCCCAATCATTTCTTCAGCAAACTTTCTTGCACTGTTTCACGTATGAGCTTTTTGGGGCGGGGGGGACACCACATCTAAACCATAACAGCAGGGAATGGGAGGAGTAGCAGAGGTTGTGAAGGGGAACTGGGCCAGGGTAGAAACTCCAGAGAAGGGAGTCCGAGCTTCCTCCAGGGAGCAGGTTGAAATTGTCACAGGTTTTTAAATGCAACACCAACAGGGTTAGAGGTGGGCTTTAGGAAGGGTAAGCCGGTTGTATGTACAGAATGGATGGGAGGGGCAACCAGGGATTTGAACACACATGACAGCATGCCCTGCCACCACTGGATGGTCACCTCATCTAAATGCCCTCCCTCTTCCATCTCACCAGTCTTTCATGCCTCCAGCTGGACTCCACATAGCTGTCCTTGATTATAGGGCCCACCTGATGTCCAAGTTTATAAAACTTGACCATGCAATTAACAGATCATTCTCTCTGTATGCCTAAACTCTGAGCTTGTCCTTCATATGTTAGGCATATGTACCCAATGAGAATATAAGCTCATGTTAATGTCCCCGGGCAGTACTAGGTTGGATGTACGCAGAATAAATATGCATCAGATGCTTCCAGAAACAGATGGGTTTCAGAATATTTATCCTTTTCCAGAGTGATAGGTTCTGCTTCTGCTTGTTGTCCTCCGACTCTGCCTGTCATTTACACCTTGTTCCTGGCCACATGGCTGCCCAGCTAGAGGACTGCACCTCCTAGCCTTCCCCACAGCTCTGTCATGTAATGACATTTTTGCCAAAGGAAGATGAGCAGCAGTGATTTGTGCAGACAGCCTAACAGGTAATTGCTTACCCTGAATTTCTCTATTTCTTTCCCTTAGTCTTGAACAAGGACATGCAAGCAACCTGGCTTCTACCACACAGATGAGGTCAGAGGGGTAAAGGACTGTGGAGCAACAATTGGAAAGAATCTATGTCCCCAAATGACCTTATGGAATAGAGCCCACCCACCAGTCCCAGAGCAGCCAGGTTCTTATCTGCAAGAAAAATTCTCTCTCTTATTTAAGCCACTATATGTTGGGAATCTCTGTTTCAGCAGTTAAGACTACTTAAAAAAATATATTTTCCCCAAATCTATTCTCTCCATTTCCCTTAATATAGTAATTCCATTTTTTGAACTGGGTCTATTATGTCTCAGCAGTGAGGTTACCGTTTCCAGCTGCCTTTACACCTATGTGTGACCACATAACTAAGTAAGTAGAATTGTTAAATGGAACCTCCAAGTAATCTCCTTATAAAGTAGTCAATGACCTCTTCTTCCTACTTCCTTTTTCCCACTATTTGGACGGTGAGGGTAATGGCTGGAGCTCAAGCAGATATTTAGGACCATGAAGTTACATGCTAAGAAATACAAAGAAGCAGAAGAGCAGGATCCAGGGTCCTGGAAGATCAGGGAGCCGCCACACAGATTCTGGATTACTTCCAGCTTTCTTTACAAGACAGAAAATTCCATCTTGTGGAAGGCATTTATGCTGGTTGCATATAGATGAACCTAATCATAACTAATAGAAAACACCCTTGAACAGATCCCAACATTTCAAACCCCAGCTTGATTGTCAGATATCCCTCTTAGCCAAAGAAAAGGAAAATGACTACTTTCCAAAGTTGCAGAAGTAAGACAGTTTCCACTCCTGAATAGAGTCAGTTTGCCTTTTGTGCTCATTGAAGCAGCTCTACAGGGAGGCTGGTGGCTGACAAACCCCCAGTCTTCCAGCCCAGATGGCCCCAACAATGGTGGCTCACACTAGGGGACCAGAACTGCTGTGGGAGAGAAGTGGGCTGGGAGTGGGGAGGGAGATGTGACCCAGCTCTGGTGCTAGGGCAGTGAGCACCAACAGAACGCTAAGAAGATGGGGCGCTAGTCACGGCAAACTTAGGTCAAAACAAATGGGGAGGAACAAAGCAGCATTTCTCACTAAATTGGGGTTTCTACTTTCTACCAACTGACCAGGTCTCACACACCCCAGACCAGATGGTGGCCTCCTCCGTGGCTGGGAGGGTGGAGGCCAGGGAGCCTCAGTTCAGCACTCCTGTCCACAGCCTCGCAGGACTTGGGTGACCACCTCCCTCTCCAGGCTCAGTCTCCCCACGTGTAAAGCAGACAGCAGAAGCTGACAGCTCCTGGGCCCAGCCTCCAAGCCCATGGGGGTCTGAGTGGAGCGCTTCCCAGCCTGGCCTTGGCGGTGCTCCGCTGTCCCCCATTGGCATTCTGACCAACCCCCTCCCGCCCCCATTCCTGCCGCCCTGGGTCCCCACCCCCGACTCCCCTCTCGCTGCCCCTCACCCTCCTGCAGCCTCACCATCATCTGAAAGATAGCGCAGGTCGTAGAACTCCCCGGCAAAGGTGCCGTAGGAGGAGTCGTGTCGCGGCACCGCCTCGTCTGCGCCCGCGTCCCCCCGCGCGCGGCCCCGGGGTCCCCGGCCCCCCGGGCCCGCGCCGTCGTCCGCTGGGCTGGCAGCGCAGGCGGCGGGCCCCGCCAGCAGCAGCAAGAGCAGCGGCGCCCAGGCCCGCGGGCACTGCCAGGGCGGCCGCGCCATCGCTGCGCACCGATCCCGCAGCCAGGCCGCTCCGGCCGCAGCGGGGGCGCCGCGGGCGCGGGCCGGGACCGAGCCGCCGCCGCCAGCACGCGCCCGCGCAGCCGCGGAGCCGCCCGCACCTCCGCCTCCCCGCCTCTGCTCTGCGCATCCTCGCTCCAGCCCCGCAGCCTCCCCCTCCACTCACCACCGCGTCCTCTCCTTCCCGGTAGATTCCCTTCTGCGTCCTTCCGCCCATTCTCCCCATCTCCCTCCTCCAGCCTTCCACCCTTGCGGATTTTTGACCTATTCTAGGCCTAGCTACTCAAAGTGTGGTCCCTGGACCAGCAGGGTCAGCATCACTTGGGAGCCTGGGAGCATCACTCATCTCAGGCCCCACACACCAGACTCCTAAATCAGCATTTGCTTTTTACCCAAATCCGCAGGATCCCACAGTTCCAATTCAGAAACTTTCTTCTAGGGGTTTTTACCCTTGCTAAAACTGCTGCCTTCCTCCAACTCGTTTCTGCACCTTCTCATTTCTACAGAACACCTATTAGACCCGTTATTTCTTGGGATCAACTCAGAAGGAACTTGAAATGGAAAGATCTCACTATAGAGATGAGTAAACTGAAGTGGTCAAAGGGTAACTTGCACCATTGAAAGTAGGCAGCTGGTCCTCTGCAGCAGGCAGCATGGGCCTTGACCTGGCCCATACCGTGTCTGGTGCCCACGCTGAACTCTCCACGTTTTCAAAACCATTCCTACCACTTAAATTCTCTGTTATTTACTCAGTCGTCCATCTATTCACATCAAGCACTTACTATGTGGCAGGTCCCAGGATCCTCTACTGATGACAGTTGTTGGAGTGATAACAGGTTGAAACTGTGAAGCTGTTTTGGCTAGAGACAGGAACGAAATTCTTTTCATGTAATGTCAGCATTTTGACTTGATTTCCTGTTTTTTATTTCTTTTTTTTTTTTTACTTTATTGCATAAATAAATTAATTAGGGAGGCAGAAAAGCATAGATTCTAAATGCAGGCCTAGAAGTCAGACTGCCTAGGGTAGTGATCAGTAGTTGCCCATGATCAATAATCTTCATGGTGCAATGGAGATTTAAGAAAATAGAGGTACAGATCAGTTGGGTTCAATGCTCTCGATGGCATGAATAAATATGCATAGAATTATGAAACATTAATATTCAAAAGGAAACTAGTGAGTGACCTCAACCTTTTATGGCCTAGTTGGCTGGGAGACAGGGGACAGCTGTTGACATAGGGAGTCATTCTGAGAAACCCAAAGTTCAGGTTTGTCATTGGGTGTCAGCTCATGGTGGGTTGTCCAAATGAGGTTTAAACATGTTAATCCTGACAGCTGAATCAAGATGTAATTCATGAAAACCTTCAGTTTTACTAGATCCTCCAACATACTAATTGTTTTAAGAAATCAGTCAGATTTATTGTTTGGAAATGGTTAAGGTAAACTATAATTATTTTAAACAAGATTCCTTCCCTAAAAGCATAGCTTGGCAAGGTTTAAATTATAAAATATAATTCCAATTAATTGAAAATCTGTTAAATCCTTAAAAAAAAAAAAGACCTGATCCCTTCTCAAAAACTGCAATCTGTTCCTTTTCTTTTCTTCCCATTCACCAGAGCAAATATGGTCAGTTTTAACTGGACCTACATTTGGCTGAAAAGAGAAAGCATCAGACTTCTGATTTCAGTGTTGATTCTCTGGTTTGGGAATTCAAGCTGCTACCTATTACTTTCTTTTTAATTCCTTTAATTTCAGTTATTACAATGAACAGTGATGGCACCTCAATAGAAGAGAAATGAAAACCAGGTCATATCCATCTCCTAGTGAATGGTCTGGTAAAAGCACATGGGCTTTCTGTGGAAAGGGGGATTTGCAAACACAGCCTAATACACAGCCTTGCATGTAATCTGTGGATTTTAATTATCCACTTCTCTTCAAGGACCTGGTGTCCATAGACTCAAAAGAGGCCACAGATAGGCTCAGAGGTAGTGTGAGCTTATGAAAATGCTGAAATAATGTTGTGATGCATGAATTTTTCTAGAGGGGCAACTTCTAGCTACCATGGGTCAAAGTCTGCATGTCTCTTCAGGGACTTAGAAACCTACTTGGGTTTCCAAGTCCTACAGAACCTACTTCTACCCTTTCACAAGATTCTTTCCAATCTACTTAAATTGCATTTTGGGGTTTTCTTATTTTCTTATAAGATTTAAATTCTGGAAAGACCCTTAGCAGGAATGGAAGTGTAGTTCAGTGGTAAGTGCTGGCCTGGCAATGTGTGAGGCCCTGGGTTAATCTGTAGTACTGCACAAACAAACAAACAAATAAATTCCTCTGCACATTTCTCTCTTAGTTACATCTCTGTTGGACACTCTGTGTTCCCCACCAGTGTGAATCCACTGGATGGCCAAGAAATATTGTGGATCCCTCTTTTGCACATGCTTTCTGGGGAAGAATTTTGTCTGACCATTTTGAGACCATTGGCTGAATAAGAGCCAGTTATTAAAACAAGAACTTAGAGAATAAACCAGTTTAATTTCATTTTCATTTTTAAAAGAAACACAACACCTTTATTTTATCTTCTCATCAAAGTCATTCTGATAAAACATTTTTTTTTCTGTTATAAAAACTTCCCATAGGAGAGCTACATCTCACTATCTGACCAGTAACAGATGTGCCCATGCCTTGGATTGCCTTGTATATGTAATTTTTCACTTTGGATTTCATAAGAAATTAAAATGTGATCTTGGCAGTTCTTCAGAAAGTTAAACATAGAGTTGCCATATGATCTGCAATTCTAAGAGATCTGAAAACATATGTTCACATGAAAACTTGTACATGAATGCTCACGACAGTATCATTCGTACTAGCTGAAAAGTAGGAGCAACCTCAATATCTATCAACTGATGAATGGATAAACAAATATGGCATCCATAAATGGTATATTATTCAGCCATAAAGAGGAATGAAGTTCTGATACACGCTGCCACAGGAATGAACTTTGAAAACATTATGTTAAACAAAGAAGCCAATCACAAAAGACTGCCTAGTGTATGATTCCATTTATGCAACATGTCCAGGAGAAGCAGATCCTTAGGTAGAGATCCATAGACGGAAAGTAGACTACTGGTTGTCAAGGGGTGAAGAGTGGTGGTGGAATTAGATAGTGGTGATGTTTGCATAAAAAACACTGACTTGTACACTTTAAAATGGTTAAAATGGTGAATTTTATTTGAACATTTAAAAAAGCTGTGATCTCTGAGATGGTGAAAAAAAAAAAGATAACAGTGATGTCAGAATAGTCCTGTGCTATTTGGGGAATATAAAATTCTGGATGCTTCCTGGTGGGAACTTCTGAATATTCAGACTTTGTTTTCAAACTCTTCATGAAGATCTATACAGTCCACAATCCAGAAACTCTGTGGATTGAGGATCCTCAGACTCTTGCAGTAACCCACCATGCCCACTAGGAGCCCCGGCCACAGATGGTACCCGAGCTTACCCTAGACCTAAGGAGTGTGCTGTATGGCCTCATTCACCCAATACAATTTCATCTCAGCCCCAATGCCAAGCACCCATCCTTATATTTGAATAGGCAAATAACCAAGACGACTGATGAAACCATGGAATCCTCTTGATTTTACTGGTTAGAGGTGAGCTGCCAAAGGTACTGGGTTTTCATACACAATAACAGCCAGACTTTCAGTGACATCAACATTTCAAAATACCTGTGAACCCAGGGGGAAGAGGGGAAGAAACAGGAGACTCGGAGCCTCCTGGAAACAGCAACCCTAAAGCTCACGCATCCCTCGTGGGAAGCAAAGCAAACCAGACGCATAGGAAATACTCGGTTTCCTGGCTTTCCCAAGAGGTCTTCAGCTGTGACCTTGGAACTTCCATTAGATAGCCGGAGGCAAGGAGTGGACACTTCAGAAAGCAGCTGAGAGCAGGAAGAGGCTGCTACATTGGCAAGAGGTGACAACCTCGTGCTGTACAGGAACACATTTTGTGTCACGGGCACGAGATAAAGGACAATTAAAGCTGTTTTAAAAGTACAGCTGGGGTCATGGAGGTATAAAAGCCCCCCAAACTACAATTGCCCCAATAACTCCACCGATGGAGCAGACAGCAGTAAAAACCAACAATGAGAAGAACGTGAGAGGCTGTAAGAGGCAGAGCCGAGCCCTGTGCATTTTGATAGCTCTTGGCGACATCACGGCAGCATACCAAGGTACAAAAGGGGCTGATGTTTATAGAGATGACCATGACTCCGTAAGGAAAGGGTGAATACTCTCCAGTGTACTCTGTTTGCTAAGGCAGGGATGTGTGTGATACATTTAAGAAAGATTTCCCTCAAAAAATATTAAAATTTTAAAGTCAGCACTTAAAGGGTTACTCCTCAGTTATCTGAATATTTGTTCAGATACCTCATTCACGACAATGCTAGAAAATGAGGCATTGCTTTTTTTTTTTTATAATCATTAGTATCAAATTATTGGCACCATTCAGTTGTAAGGGTAGGGACAGGAGAGCAAACTCTACGACAACATAAAAATACAGTTCTGGTACAAAGGTACGGGATTGATTCCATTTAACAAGCAGTCGTAAGAAATGGATGGACAGTTTACACACAAGGAGATACAGCTAGGAAATCATCACGTGGAAAAGTGCTCAGCTTTTGTAGCAATTAATGAAATAAAACAACTTTTCAAGAACAACTGTACACATCCATTAAACTAGTGAAAATAAATAAAAACAGCAAAACCCAATACTGGCAGAGCTATTGGTAAATAGAAATGCTTATACATTGCTGGTGGCATCATAAATTTTAAAGGGGATTCAAGCATTCAGAGGGGGAAGGGGGTGTTAAACTAGATGACCTTTAAGGTCCTTCCAATCCAGAGATTGGATCTTTCTAGAAAGCAATTTGGCAATATAAAACAAGAGCTATAAAAGTATTTCATGCTCTTTGACCTTGTAATCCCTCTTTGAAGATACTCCCAAAGGGAATACTCCAAAGGAAGGAACTTTTTTTTTTTTTTTTACAAAGACATTCATAGCAGCACTATTTATAAGAGTGAAAAAATGGATATAACTCAGGTATCTAATGGGAGAAGTGAGGTTAACCATGTTACATGGGTATAAAGATATTTAAATTGGCAAGAGTAGGATCTGTTTGATAAGGAGATAAGTGTTAGGCAGAGAATGGAACAAAAGAGAATGTACACACTGATCCTAGCTACGTAAAAACATGTGCATGTTCATGGAGAAAGCTTGGGGACTAATTTAGAGGGATGTTTTGTGTTTTTTTTTTAGTTCCTGCAAAGTTATTCAAGTGCATAATAAAAATTTAAAAACACATTTCTTGAAACTATATAAAAAGAGAGCAAAGTTTCTTCTGGTCAGGGTTCTATCAGCAGGACATTAATCAATCAACTTTAGAAATGGTCTTCCTTAATAGAAAACCCAAATGATTTTCCTTATTGAACCATCTTAAAACCCCGTACAGATTTTTAGACAATGCAAGCTGGAATTTCCTACTTTGGTTCAATGATAAATTTTGTTTATCACAGATAATAACATATCCAATGAGTTCCCAAAGAAAATCATGTTATGGGTTAAGCTAAAGAACTTTTAGTCATGGTAATTATATATATATATATATATATATATATATAATGTATGTATGTATATATATATATTTTTAGTTCATTTACTCATGTCTGAATAAAAATAAAGGACTTTATAAGATCTGTGTATTTATCAGTGTAAATGAAAAACCATCAGTAAAGAATTATTCTCTCATTAAAAATTACTCTTTAGCAAAGAGTCGAATCTTGGTGCAAGTTCCAATCATACAAAATCACATGGTTGAGACTGTTGGTGAAGGATTCCCCGCTGCGTTAGCCTCTGTGGTCATCAACCCACACACAGGTACTTCTGAACAGGAATCCCTGTCTTCCCATCTTTCTTCTCCTAAACGTACCAAATCCTGTCTCAACTGCACTGAGCCACAGAAAACCTCTACTGCTCAGGAGACATAGAATAACCTTTCCCATGAAAGTCAAGCCAGCAGTCGGTTTCCGCTAGCCCTGGAGACCTGGGAACAGAGCACACATCTGTATGTCGTGCTGGAATGAGCACGCTAAGCCCGAAGAAAGAAAACGGACAGAAGGCACCATGCCATCCTCCAGACGACAAGGGGACAGTTTCACAGTTCAGTCATCAACAGTCTTTTCATCATTTTCTCTCTCTCCAGTTCCTGCCGGAGTGTCTCTGCACTAAAAAAAAAAAAAAAAGAAGAAAAAAAAGAAAATGTCAAAATAGTGAGACAGACCCTCAAAAATCGCAGGAGCAACAGCTTCAATGTCATCTCCCAGATTCCTTCTTGACTTTGCTTTGTAGGACCCCCTACATCGGCGAGCATTACCATAACTTGAAATTGTCTGGTCACCTATGTGTTCCCCGACTGCAGTGTGAGTATATGTCGTTCATCTCTGAAACCTCAGAGCCCCATACAGTACCTGGTCCATAGCGGCCACTCAGTACAAGCGTCGAATGAATGGGAAGATGCCCAGGAATTAGATTTCTTTAAATCAAGTTGGTTTCATAGACTCTTTGTCCCAGAGGTTAATCTGATTCATGACTGAGGCAATGTCTGCGATGGTTTAGATATGTGCTGTCCCCCAAAAGCTCATATGTGAGACAATACTGGAACATTCAGAGGTGAAAGGATTGGGTTATGAGAGTCTTAACCTAATCAGTGCATTGTTTCTCTGATAGGGATTAACTCGGTGGTAACTGAAGGCAGGTGGGGTGTGGCTGGAGGAAGTGGGTCGTTGGGAACATGCCTTTGCGGTTTATATTTTGCCAGTGGTGAAGGAGATGCTCTCTCTGTCTCTGTCTCTCTCTGCTGCTTGGGCCAAGTTTTGAGCTACCTTGCTCCACCACATTCTTCCATCATGATGTCCTGCCCCATCTCGGGCACTGAGGAATGGAGTTGGGCATCTACAGACTGAGACCTCTGCAACCATGAGTCCCCAAATTTCTTTTCCTCCTACCATTGTTCTTGTTAGGACTTTTGGTCACAGTGGAGGAAAAGCTGATTAAAGTAGGACTTAATACAATGTTGTCTTCTGAATAAAGCTGAATGAAGTAAAACTGGCTGCCGTGAGGGGTTGCCTCTGACTTCTTGGAGCCTGGGGTCCAGTTGTCAGTCATGTATCTGTCACACACACACACACACACACACACACACACCCCAGTTGTCTGTCTCCCTTCACCTCCAGGCACTAAAGTGTAAACCTCGTAAGGGTCGCACTTAACCACACTTAACCCATCCCTGGCACCTAGAATACAGCTGTCCCCATGGATATGTTAATCAATCCTTACAGGATCAATGAATGCAAGGGGTGGGAGGGTTGTAGTGGCACAAGCACGGTGAACCTCGAGTCTGTGCCTGGTTTCCATGTCACCAGAGTTAACTGTGGGTGCCTGCTCTGATTTACCTGGCTGCCATAGAAACAGGCTTCCGGGTGGTATAGACGGTCTGTACCGTGGAGACAGTCTCTGTCAAAGGCCTCAGGGCCGCCGCTGGGATCAGTGGGGAAGGCGGGCCAGGACAGCGCTGTAATTTACTGTCTCTGAAGTCGGCCTGGGGGAGACACGGAGGAGAGGAGATCAATCTCTATCTGAGCTCCGTTTCCCACGGGCAGCCACGCAGCCACTCTGTCTCTAAGCCTCACTGTACCGCTCCTGTTATTTTTTAATAATAGCTGAAAAATCAATTGCCATTTTAAGCGATTTTGCTTTATGCCAGATACTGTGCTAAACACTTAACATACATCACCTCTTGACAACCTTTTAAGGCAAAACCGTATTTCATCACATCTTAGATCCCATCAGTTATAAGATACATCATTTTTTTGTGTACCGCACAGAAAGAAAAATGTGGCATTCCAACTTTGTCATGTTGTACACTGTAGTAAACATTCTGATTTCAGAGATATAAACAGGTTTAAAAAAAAAAGTATATATCTTAGAGGCTGGGGTTGTGGCTCAGCAGTAGAGTGCTCGCCTAGCATGTGTGAGGCCCTAGGTTTGATCCTCAGCACTACATAAAAATAAATAAATAAAATAAATAAAGGTATCGTGTCCAACTACAACTAAAAAATAAATATACATTTTTCAAAAAGTGTATCTTAGAACTGATTTTATGAAAAAGTAATGAGAAGCTCGGAGAGGTTAAGCCTTCTGCCAAGGTCACACAGGAAGCAAACATTAATAGCAGTATTCAGAATGAGGGTTTGCTAACTCCCTAACTGGTGTTTTTCACCAATGTAGCCCACACTTGGGGGACCCAAAGTATGATTCCCAGACTAACAGCATCAAATTATTTTGAAAATTGGTGGGAAAAACAAAGTGCTCAGGGCCTACTCAAGCCATTGGAACCCAAGTATCTGGGGATGAAGCCCAACAATAAAAATGTTATGTCATTTATTGTGAAGTACAATATGCTTATTACTTCTACAGAGAAAGCTTAGAGGATCTATGTAAAAGCTGATAAATGAAGAAATTCCCTAATCCATTATTTTCTCAGTAGTTTCTCCTATGCATAGTTTTTGGCTTGTTTTTACACCCTTCGGATAATACCAGCTATGTATTTCACTAAACTTAATTATTTATCATTCTGGGGTCCTGAGGATTGAACCCGGGGGTATTTAACCACTGAGCCACATCCCCAGCCCTCTTTATGTTTTATTTTGAGACAGGGTCTTGTTAAGTGACTTTGGACTTGCTATCTTCCTGCCTCAGCCTCCTGAGCCAGCCAGCTATGTATTTTATAATTTGCCTTTTTATGCTAGATCTTGACCCTGAACTTGGAGAAAGTTACTGCCTGGCTTTCTAAAGAAGAGGCTCTGATCTTCGCAGGGGCGACTACCTTCCTAGTGATTATACAGAAGATGAGCTGTTCCTCCCAGGCAGCCATGGAAACCACTGAAAATATCACGCAGAGCTCAAGTTCTGAAAGGACATCGGAGTTGAGCAAGGGGGAAAAGGCTTATCTTTGAAGTGGGGAGGGCTTGCTGAGCCTTACAAATGCTCTTTGGTGCCTCACACGTGCCCCTAAAAGAAGTGACTGTCCTGAAATGGAATGATGCCAAGGAATTGTCTTCAGGTCTCTGCTCAAAGGTCCCGTCAGTGAAGCCATCCCCTGGGTCATACAGGAGCAGCACGCCTTGGGCTAGCAGGTGACGTTAGCCATGGAGAGCTTGCACAGATGGGGGCTGTGGCAGTCATTTGAGCTGCTCCTCAACTCATTCTGGCTCGTCCCCTTCCAGGCACATGGTAGGAGTGCACTGCCCCCTTGAAGTTAGCTGTGACCATATGCCCTGCTTTGGGCTGGTGCTGCTTCCCATTTCTGTTGAAAGAGCCAGTGGGTATTTGATCTCCCCACCCCCCCCACCTCTCTCTTTAGGTATTGCTATCCTGAAAAATCTCTTTCCTCCGCCACTGTGACTATAAGCATTCTACATGTCATTGCTTATACTGCTCCATTAGCCTGAGTCCCCAGAAAGAGGGCACCACAGAGCACAGTCCTCAGTCTACACAGGGCTGACCTGAGTAGGAAAGTCCCTGCGTTGGTTGGAAGCACCCACAGGCTTAGCCGATCCCTCCTGATCCAGCAGCTGGGGTGAGAAGTTGCTTGGATGAATGGCTGGGGGTTGGGCTTCTGAGACCATGGTTGAGGCACATTTGCACTGGTGGTGCACAGGCAGCAGTGTGTAAAAGTGCTAGGGCTTCAGCATGACTACAATCTGTATAAGCTGTCTCCATCTTCTTCACAGTGGGAGGGGGTGAGGGGCAATCTCAAGAATATCCTTGAAGAGCAGGCCAGGTGGCACATACCTGTAATCCCAGCAACTTGGGAGGCTGAGGCAAGAGGATCACAAGTTCAAGTCCAGCCTCAGCAACTAAGCAAGGCTTTAAGCAACTTAGTGAGACCCTGATTCAAAATAGGAAATATAAAGGGCTGGGGATGTGGCTCAGTGGGAAAATGCCCCTGGGTTCAAACCCCAGTACAAAAACAATAACAACAAAAAAGAATGTCATTGAAGAAGCAGTAAAAATTACTAATTAAATCTCAACCTAAGGGGCTGGGGATGTGGCTCAAGCGGTAGCGCGCTCGCCTGGCATGCGTGCGGCCCGGGTTCGATCCTCAGCACCACATACAAACAAAGATGTTGTGTCCGCCAAATACTAAAAAATAAATATTAAAAAAAAAAATTCAAAAAAAAAAATCTCAACCTAAGTACCTATCTTTTTAAAAACTTTTAAAATATTTGTTAAATGAGGAAATACATGAAAGCATGTTCTTCTTATTCTGGGGAAGAAATACTGGGGACTTCTTCCAGGGGTGCTCTCTAACTGAATCACTGAGTTATATCGCCAGCCCTTTTTTATTTTTTTATTTTGAGATAGGGTCTCACTAAGTTGTTCATGTTGGTCTTGACTTGTTATCCTCTTGTCTCGGCCTCTTGAGTAGCTGGGACACAGGCAGGCACAACCGTCCCCAACTTCTGTTTTCTTCCTCCTCCCGCTTCTTCTTAGGATCAAACCCAGAAGGACAGACCCAGCTTAGGAAGAGGATGAAATCGAAGCCAGATAGGGGCCCTCATTGTTGATGGACCAAAATACTCAGCCGAGTCCCAGCAGAGAGCCCGTTCAGTTCATGGGCCTGAATATGAAGTAGTAACTTATTGGGGGCCCATCCTGAACAGGAGCTGAGCACGCCCCCTACCTTTGAGTAATGGGGGTGTGGAAGTGGCATCGAATGCAGTGCAAAGCACGTGGGCCTTACCATTGCTCAGCAAGGTGCAGCTCTGGGAGTGGGTGTCACCCAGTGAGACTGGGCTACACCCCCCTGTTTGTTTTTACACAATCCCTTGCCTTATTTGGGGGGAATATTCTATCGAATGTCTCCTCCCCCATAAATAGGGAGGTTCCAGGTGCGCTAGCTCTCTTGCCTCCCTTGCTCCTGCTGCCCTCCAGTGCAGGAGTGGACACCTCAGGTCTCAGAGCTGTCCCTGACCCCAAAAAAGGTATTTTGTGTTTGTGTGGTCTGCCAGCCCAATACACGCAGAGTGACCCTGAATCCATCACCCACGCCGGCCGTGAGTGACAGCAACTGGTCTCAGATCAAGCAGGGAGCCTGATGATTGAAACCAGGTTCAAGGTAAATGCTGGAGAAACTACCAGGTCAGCTTTGTGCAGAGTTCCCCAGAGTTGCTAAGCTCCTGTGTGACTGAGGCCAGGATAGGACTGGAGACCTGTGGAGAGGCCAAACCTGCAGCAAATCCAAGCGTCTTGACTTGAAGAGACCATGACCCAAAGGGGTGGGAAATCTGGAAGGGTAACGTCACCCCCCCACCATGACACCTGCAGTAACTCTAGTCCTCATCTCCCACCTAGTCCCCTCCTGGGTGCTCACTGGGATATCCAACTGCCCACTTCCTGTTTCCAGCACGTCTTTCAAAGGCAAATACATCATGACCAAAGGCAAATAACTCATTATTCTCTGTCCCCACTGCATTCTGCAAGTCAGAAATCTGACAGCCATTTGTGACTCCCTCTCCACCCTCCAATCCAGTCTCTTACCAGCCGCCTACAGGTTTCCTCCATCTGTGCACTTCTCTCCACCTCTACAATCAAAACCGTGCTGGGATAAGCTCTCTGTCCTCCCTCCCTTAAGCCACTGTCCTAGATTTCTAGACTATTGTTCTAGATACACTGTCTGGACCCAAATGTTCTCCTACTGTGATCACAGGGATCCCTTCCAAAAGCAGCTAGCTGCCTGCCATGGCCCTGCTTAGGTCCTTGGAAACCTTCCATCGCTTTTAGGATGAGGATCAGAATCCCTCCTGCGGTCTACACAGTCAAGCATAACTTTGTCCCTACTGTGTTTCTCCCTGCCTCTGTCCCCTTCCTCTTCTCACACCTCAGACCCTTGGGGCTCTGCATCCCAGTCCCTGGGGTCTTGAAGGCATGATGACCCCTCCCACCCCAGGCTCTGGTCCACCTTCCCTCTGCCGGCTCCCCCTGCCTTCCAGCCACTCCTGCCCAGTTCTTGAAAGTCCCAGCGTGATTTCTGACACTGGCTTCCTGCTTCACCCTGGTCCCTAGCTTTCAGGAAGGGCTTCTCTGAGTGTCTCACAGGAATGCCAAGCCCGGGCAGGAGGCCAGAGTGCCCCACCAGGGCCAACCAAGGGAAAAGGAGTGGAGCTTCCCGCCGGGAGCTGTGTCTAGCAGAACTGTAGGGGGGCTGGAAGGGTGTCAGGGAAGTGGCATTCAACATCCTGGCACCGCCCCTGAGACTCTGTTTGCTCATTAAAAGGCAGGAGTTGGAAGCGGTTCATGACCCTAGAAATGGACTGTTCTAGGAACCTGTTCTTTTCTCTGCCTGGACTGCTGGGCGCCTTCCCGCTCTGCTCGTCTTCTGAAACCTGAATCGGCTTCTCCCTTCATACCCATGTGACTGCAGCCACCCTTGGGTAGTGACCATTGCCCGGCTTCGGACCACTCCCAGGCCACCTCACAGATCCTCCACTTAGGACAGAAGCCAGTAGGAGTTGTAAACTGAATCCTTGGAGGAGAAGAGAGTGAGAGGAAGGGGCATGGAACCCGGGCCTTCGCTTCCACTCCATATAGCAGCTGGTTATATATATAGTGAGCTTCTGCAGAAACTTCCAGTTAAGAATGAGTTGAGCAGCCGAACCCATCATGAAAATCATTGCGTGCTCTCATTCTGCAGATGAGGAAACCGTGACAGCTTATTTGCAGAATTCAAATAAGCTGCCCAGAGATGGCTCGGTCAGGCCTCCCTGTGGTCGCTCATCACACCACCTGCCTCTGTAGCTTTGAGAAGCAGCTGTCATCACTGACATCTGGGGGATGCTCTGTGGTTGGGAAAGAGTTTCAAATTCTTGGTCCTTTTTGATCCTGGCCTCAACCAGATACAAGAAGGATATTCTCATTACCATCTCCACTTTAAATAAGTAGAGGCTGGTGCTCAGAGTGGTAAAATCACCAGCCTAAGATCACAGCATGCTCAAATTTGGACCAATCATTGAAAACGGGAGTTCAAACAAATATATGTACCTATGTGTTCCCAGCAGCACCATTCACAACAACCCAGATTCCCACCAACAGGTGGACAGATAACCAAACGGCAGTGTATCCACACAGTGGAATATTACTCCACCATAAAAAAGAAACAAAGTGCTAATACAGGCTCCAACGTGGATGAACCTCACAAAGATGATGCTAAGTGAAAGAAGCCAACACTAAGGGCCCAGGTTGTATGACTCCATTGGTAGAAAAGCTCCAGACGCGGCAAATCCACAGAGACAGAGCAGAGTGGAGGTGCCAGGGGCTACAGGTCAATGGGAAACTAAGGAGTCACCGTTCATCAGATATGATATTTTCTTTGGGGTGATAAAAATGTCTTAGAACTAGACAGAGGTAGTTCTAACTTGCACAACATTGGGAATGTACTAAGTGCTACCAAATTGTTCGTTTAAGAAGGTTCATTTTATGTGAACCCTGCCTCAAATAAAACAGGCAGACCCCAAATCCCAACCTCACAGAGTTGAACAGTCGATGGTGCCGTCCAGCATGCCACAGAAAAGCTCACCACCCGGGAGCAGCACTTCAAAATGCAGATCTGCCCCCCGCCCCCATCTACTTACTGTAAACTGAGGCCCGGTGCTAAAAGGATCAGGAAACGGGCTCACCGGATCAGCCGGGAATGTTTTTATCTTCAAAAAAGAGAGAGACAAGGGGGGTTACCTTCATGTGAGAAAACACAGTTTTGAAATCTTTGGCAGTGCACCTGTGAAACTGGACAGCAGGGTTCAGGGACCTCCGGGAGCCCTAGTCCCTCAGTGTGGGCTGGTGGTTGCGTCTACCTGCTGTCGGACTGTGGGGCTGCACTTGGCAGGGACAGGATGGGGTGTCCTTGGTGGACATGCCATGATCCCCTCACCTGAAGCTCCCTTCCCCAGGCTGCCTGGGCCTTCCAGGCATGCCAAATCCCAGGCATGATCCACAAAAGGACACATTCAGGGTGGATAACGAGGCAGCCACAGCTGCCCAGAGTGGCTTCTGAGGGCTTCTCCATAGCTGTGGGGGATGGCAAGAGGCTTCTGGGAGGTCACGTTAGGGACAGTCTATTATCATGGGCAGGTATAAGAGGCTGGGCTAGTTAAGCCAGAATGTGCCCCACGCTTGGGGTCACTGCAGCACCGAGCTGCTCTGAAAGAGGCTGGATGGCCCCAGCATGCTGAGTGGTAGCCAAAACCGTCTTTGGCTTCCGATTCTTTTGTCTTTGGCTTCCTGGAAGTCTTGGGGAATGGGAGGACTTATTATTCAAACCAGTACACCAGCAGGTCCAGGGCCCTGGTGACACTGGCCCTAGCTTGGTCTGCAGTCCCAGGGCCCAGAAACCACCTGCACAGTGTGTGCACCTGTGCCACCTGCGGGCAGGGGACTGCCTCCAAGACACCCAGGACTCCCAGCCCAGTGGCAGCAGCCTCGTGTCTTACAGGGTCTTGCCCATGAACCCTGGGCTGGCACCTGGTAGGGATGAACAAGAGCACATCAGATCAGACCCAAATTGGCTGAGGTGTTTTGGAATGGACAGGGTAGGTCTCAACCAAAATGGGGACCATGGTGTTTTTACAATGTGCACTGAGATGCGCAGCCTAATCCTGCTCCCTTCGCCCCCAAATCTCTCCATTCTCTTCAAATATCTCCAAATTCCTAGAATGGGCCGCACACTCGAAGGACTGTCAAGGTAAAGCCATGGTACATTCTCCTCGCCTCCCTGACAGGTCAACAAAGTGTTCTGAGACCAATGTCACAGGAGAAGCAGCTGCAGTTAAGTGTTCAGACCATCATTAAACAGAGGGGAAAGTACTTTCTTATTGCTATTAAAGAAATGTGAAAGTCAGCAACCTCAAAGAGGCTCTCCACCTGCTGTGAATGACAACAACTAGACCCCAACAGTGTTGCTCACGCTGTGGCAGAAGAAATTCACTGTCTACTGATGGCACTGCCAATTGGGATAGCCACTTCAGAAGGAGGTGAAAGCCATGGTCACACAGTGTCACCCAGCAGGGTCTAGTCTGATTCTAAAAGCTATGTGTGGGTTCCCTTGAACAGTGACAAACTGGAACCAAAGCCCGTGTCCCACAGTGGAGGACTGGTTAGGCAAATGGAGGCCATTCACTCAATGAAATATAGTCACGTGCAATGTGGCAACAAGAACCAGAGAGAAACAGCACAGTATTAAGAGAGAGAAACAGGCGATGATGAGGCTACTATGATTTAATATGTGGAATTATGAATGAATATGGACAAATAGAAGGAAATGCGAAAAGATGAAAAAAAAATCATGCTAGGGTGGAATTAAGGGTGATTCCTTTTAAACTGTTAGGTGACACTGCTCTTATGTCACTATCTTGATAAACAGCAGGAGAAGACAAGTTTACATTATTTTTTTATTTTCAATTGAAATGACACTTCATCTGTCTGGTGAGTACTGGAACTTAGATGTCCCCTGGGAAAAGCCATCGATGTTCATCAAAACCCTAGGAAAACCAAGTCTTCCTGGTTCTTGGGAGCTATGGCTGAAGGGATGGGACCACAGCTGAGCGTCCCAGTTCCACCAAGGCTGGCTGGATTCCAAGCTGCCCCTCGGTCCTGGGCCAGCGCCCCTGCCAGCGGGGCTCTCCGAGGTCTGGTGCTCCTGCACACCCGTCCGGCCGCAGCCTCGCCTGCTCTGGCAGGCCCCTCTCCCTGCCGGTGTACCTACCAGCCTCGTTTTGATTGGAGGGTACATGCAAACTCCAGTGGTCTCTTCCTTCATGGGGAGAGAGAGTGGAGGAGAGCAGCCAGAGTGAGCACAGTGGGGGTTGCTGGCGGGCTCTGCCTGCTCACGTGAGAGGAGAGAACGGGAGGAGGAGGTGGTGAGATAGGGAGGAGAGAAAGGAGATAAGGGAGGGGAAAGGAGAGAGAGAGAGCATAGTGCAAGACGGATCTGGCAAATCCAGACTATTCTCAAGCCAGCTTTGCCCGCAGCCTACTTCCAGCCTCTGGCCAGCTCCCGCTGGTCCCACCCGCCACCCTCCTCTCTCGGCCTCTCTCCTCCTCTCTGACCCCCATCTCTCTTCTCCACTATGAGAGCTCTGACACTCCAGAACCCCCTTCCCGGGGCTGGCAGGGAGGGACCGTCACCTGTGCCAACGCGCAGGATTGGCAGCTGCACCCTGGCACACCGTTAGGGTTTTGAAGCACTGCCCAGACCAGGCCAGAAAGAGCCACCATGAATTAACAATGCCAGCCACGGGAGCCATATGCAGACTGGCCACACGCTCGAGAGCATTTGCCTTCCATGCCTGCCCCCCAACACCCCATCGCCAGGTTTCTGCCAAAGAAGGGCATGTGCTGTGGTGTATATGTAGATGTCCAGCAGAGAGCACTGGGAAAGAGACACATGAGGGGAGGAACACCGAGTTTAGGACTTCATCTGTCACGGCTCTGGGTTTGCAAAAACAGAATGACCTCAACCCACCTCCCACGCCCAGGAGCCCAGACCTTGGCGTCTCATACTGGCATTGGTACTTGCTGCTAAGCTGAAAGACACCAAGCGTTGTGAGAAAAGTGCCACACCCTGTGGGATGCCAACTTCCCCACCCTGTCCCTGATGAGTGCCATGCGCCCAGCAGAGGTCCAACAGCTCATACCGTGAAGGATGAGAACAGTGAACAGATGATGCTCCGTGTAGGAGCAGAGGCTACTGACAGGGTGACTTTGGGTTTCAGGGAGGGACTGTTTGCTCCAGAGAATAAATACATACATGTTGAGTTCAAGAGAGGTTCCCGAAATAGTTGGTATCATCCTGCCACGAGGAATAAAATACAGCTTCTGGACAAGTTTCATTGAAAAATGATCAAGAAAATTGCAGGCCTCTTTTCCTTCTCCAAATTGATCTAACTCTGTCCTCTTGACAATGGTGCAATGCTGGATAATTTCCAAAGGGCTTTTACAACCACGGTCACTCAGTGCTCTTCGCAACAGACTTGTTCTACTCTCCACATTTGGGAGATGCATACATTGTATATGCAATGTCCTGGGTTCTAGATTCTATGTTGATCGTTTTGAAATCCTTTCTTTTTTTTTCCAGTAGTAAGTGAATTCATATAAGGCACCTGTAGTCAAGTTTTACCAGAAGGATTTACTGAAATCCTCCCACTCTCTGTTCCTCTGGATAAATCCCACCTGATGGTGTTTGAGGCCTGCATGAAGCTGCCCCCTGCCAGCCCTCCAGGATCAGTTCTTAGTGCTGCCCCAGTACACTGTTGCTCCAGCCAGAACCAGCTGCACCTGGGGCCTTTGGCCACTGGGCTTTTGCTTCTGCTGACACCAGCAAGAATTCAGTGTGTATTTTCTAAAGAAAATAAAAGTTGGCATAAGAGACCAAGAAATATGGCTGAGTTTCCTAGAGGCCAAAATGTCTTTAATCTGAAGATTAAAATGAATGACTTAAGGCTTTGCTTTCGTCGTAAATGTTGATCATTAGACAAGCGTTTCTGGCCTTTCTAAATATGCACCTGAATGGATTTCAGCAAAAGAGCATCCCTGGACTCTTACTAAATCCACCCCTTGGCTCTTAGTAAACGGAAAGGAAATAAGATAAGGCGTGTCATGGGATACTTTTTGAAATGCCATTTTATCTGCCTCCCCCGACCAAAGCCTTGGGGCTTTCCTACATGCGGGCAGCTGCAGTCTTCTCTAACTACTTGACTTTTGAGTTTCAAAGTCTGACTCTGGGGGGAACAGAAAGACTCTTGGCATAGACTGATGAAAATGTGCTTCTTCATCATCTAGATAAGAAAAGAGACCTGCTGGTTTGAGGACAGGGGAGAAGAGTCAAGCAAAGGGAGGAGGGGGGACACTGGTGAGTCTTGAGCCAGTGGCCCTGGGCCTTTCTCCATGGCTGTGGCTGCAAACAGGGATTAAAGAGCAATCCAGGACCAGCGGCCCTGCTCAGGGAGAGCCACTCAGACCCCAGGACAGCTTGGTGCCCAGTATGTAGGGACTGATACCTCCCAGAAGGCGAGCGATCTCTACTTACCCAAAAGGACCACAAAAGAAGCAGAGTGTCCCAGATGTATCAGTGAACACTGGCACTATGGAATAATTGGTTTCTTTCCACCTGTGTACTAGGGAGCACAGATGAACCCACAGAGCTACAGAGGGGCACCCTGATTTGGTTCGAGATCAAGCTATGGCCCTCGTGGAAGAATGAGATTCAAAATAAACACTGAGCTGTGGAGCCAGATGGGAATCCACTTCTGACCCACAGCCCTGGGCTGTCCATGGGCCCTGTACAGCTTCCCTCCCTTGGCCAGGCCAATGTACTGTCTGACATCTGTGCTCTTCACTAACATGCCATGTGCCAGAAGGGACTGGGTTCTCACCAGTTCTGCTCTATAGTCAGGTGAATGGTTTACCAAGTGCAGAGACCCGAGAACGCAGAGGTATAGCTGTGCTTGGTTTGTGGTACCTGAGGGTGGAGGAGGGCCGGCTCTGCATCCCCAGAGTCAAGTGACTCAATTGACACCAACACCCCCCTGCAGTACTCTCTCACAACCCGAGAGAATTCCAGTGATAGGTGCTCTCCTGTCACTGTCCTCTTCCTTTCCACCCTCGCGCCCTACCCGTCTGTCCCAGACAGGAACTCTTTGTGATCATGAACTCTGAAGCCAGAGCTGGAGACGGCAGGCATCAAGCTGCAAAGGGTGTCTGGCTTTGGATGGCTAAACTGAGCTACATAACACAAGATTCGGGGATTAGAAAAGTTTTGGGAAAAGGAGGGGGAGATGCTTTAAGAGTGAAGTTGGAAGGAGCACTTCTGTGGAGAGTTCCAGAACCCAAGTCCTTGGAGCAGGGCAGGAGGCAAGAGAATGAAAGAGAAGGCAAAGAGCTTTATCGTATGGCGCAGGGGAGTTCATCTAATCTTCTTGAATATGTTTTGAGAGATGACAGTTCAACATTGGGCCTTCTTGTTACTCTTGCCTCTTTGGACTGGGCTTCTCTAAAAACCACTCCAAAGAGATCAGACCTGATTTCAGGTGCCTCAGTGGAACATACCTGAATAAAGGCAGGAACATTTGGTACGGTTCCAATCTCTCCAGTTCCCTGTCCTTCCAGTGCTGGCTCAAGGATTATGAGGACTTCAGGAATCTCAGCTAGAGGAGGGAGAGGGCTAGAGCTCGGGAAGTGACTGCCCAGGAAAATATTCACGAGGGATGGGCATCACCTGGGGAGTTTGACACTCTTGCCCCATAAAGTGCTGCTTCCTCTTCCCAAGGAAATGCTTAAGGAGAGCCCAGAGACAAGGCCAGAGGCCAAGGGCACAGAGCTGGCAGAACCACCCCTCGTCCAGGCTGAGTCAGACCAAGGTACCGGGTACCTCCCATCCCCACGCCCTACTTAGCAACTCTGGGGACCAAACCTGGGCTGACAACTTGGAGATGGTCCCAGAATTTTCCCAAAGCCTGGGCTGTGGAGGATAGGGATGGGGCCAGGGAATCTGACTGGATAATGGGGAAAGAGAGACACATCCTGGCTCAGACCATCTGCCACTGGGAAATGTGCTGAAACAGCAGCCCAGGGCCTGGGTTCCAGTGCTGACCCTGACACAGACAAGCTGTGTGATCTGCTACAAGTGTCTGGTCTTCTCTGGACCTTGGCTTCCCCACCTTTTTCTGTGTGTGTGTGTGTGTGTGTGGGGGGGGGGGGGTTCTGGGATTGAATCCAGGCCTTGTGCATGTGAACCAAATACTCTACCAACTGAGCTGTATCCCCAGCCCTGCCTGGCTTCCCCATTTGTAGGGGAGGAAAGGGAAGAGATGGTCCCAAGGCACCACTCCCACTGACAGGTCAGATGCAAGAGCTCAAGGAAGTCCTGGCTACTAGTCAGGCATACACTACTTCCCTCTGGTCCCAGCTCCTTCCTGTGGTGGATTAAGAAGCCCCTCTGCAACCTCCCCCATCAGGTGCAGGATGCTGACCTGGAGATGGTGAACATGGCTACAGGTGCACTGGTGCTTGTGATGCCCCTAGCCCTGAGTCTGCTCTCCCCTTGGCAAGGTGAGAGGGCTGGCTTTGTATTTCTGAGATGCTGAGAGGAGGGGATGGAGGGGAGGGGATCAGCCAAAAGGAGTAGGAGATTGCCCACATTCCCCTCCTCCTCTCTAGGATCCACTGACCCTCATGGGAACAGGATTCATTTTGAGCAAAGTGCAGTCAGAGCCGGGCACCAAGGAAAGCCCATAGCAGAGTGGGCTCTTGCCAAAATGCCAGGCATTTTGGGCTGCTCGTGCCCCAAGACAAAAGGCACCCGTCCTGAGCACACATATTCACTGCAGACCTCAGTGGGCAGCTGTGTCTCAGTGTGGTACAAGGATGTCCCCTGTCCAGGCCTGGGCAGTGCAGCATGCTGAACCCTAATTGAGAGCTTAGTCAGAGTTGCTCAACATGTAGGCGGGGCCTCCCAAGGAGAGGAGTGAGCTTCCTGGTGCTGCAGGGGGCGCCAGCAGAGGCAGGACTGTCACTGACTTTGGGTCAGCAGATCCCTGAGTTCCTGCCACATGCTGCTTTCTTCCTCATCTCAGTGTGTAACATCCAAACGAAAACAGATAATTTAATTCCACAGGTAATGAAATCTACCAGCTGCATTCCCAGTACAAGTCTCCAAAGGAATCCTACCACTCCTGGAAAGCCCACTGTGTATTATTTTTATAAACTGACCCTTGTTCTAAGATCCACCAGACCCTTTATTAAATTCTCAGTACTTTGATCATGCTGTATTTTCTACCTAGAATGTCTGGGTTCATTTTCTTCACCAGGCAAACTCCTATTCATACTCTAAAACCCAGGCTCCATGAGCCTCCCTTTCCCATTGCCTCCAGGTACAGTTAAATATTAGGTCCCACAGAAGTGGCAGTTCATAAGGGTGATGAAGTGGTGCCGAAAGGGCCTCTGCTTCTGGGTCACCACCTCTGAAAGGCAGAGGGAAGAGGAAGGGGTCCTCCCACAGTCTTGGCAATCTGTCTATCAAGGAGGTTGTGAATCATTCTGCGACTTTGACACAGGAAGGGTCTAACTCTGGATTGACCAGAGCAGGGGTCACCCATTGTCACTTGTCAGCTGTTTATCCAAAGCTCTCAGACTGCATCAACTGTCCCGATGAGACAGGCAATTGTGTCAATGATCTCCTTATGCCAGCTGGTCAGCAGTGGTGGGTCCCATGTGTCCTCTCTGGAAAACCTTCCAGAAATCTCTCCTAAATACCTCAATCCTCCTCTAGCAAGTGGGTCCTGAATGACTCCAGCTTCTGGTCTCTATCTGAGCATCTTCTCACATTGCTCATGGCCTTTATCAACCTGACATCCCCTCCACCTCTAGCTGTCCTCTCTATTCCCACAGCCCAGCACATGGACAGGCAAGCAGCAGACTCCTAGGAGATAGGTCTTGACTTGCTCACATTTTGGCTTATAGCTCAAAGTGATGACTTAAGCTTAATACAAGGTGGACTGTGATTTATGCTCCAGTACACTTGGGTACCGCACTGAGCCCAGCCAAAGATATAAGCAAGTTTCCCTGTAATAATACCTTGCACATCTTTATGGCACTTTCTGTTCTCATAGGACACACATGCATTTGCGTGTGCGCTCATAAAATTCTTATAACTCTCCTGTGACAAACAATGGCATCCTTTATCTCATAGAAGATGGAGCAGTGATTGTCCAGTGACAAGGCTTTTCAAAGGGGGAGTACAGACTGCACACAGGACCTGGCTGTGTGATTTCTGCTTCAGTGCTCTGTCCTTTAAAAAGGGTTTCTCACCCGAAAGACTCTCATAAGGGCCACTACCCACAAGGGGAGACCTGAATGCAGAAGATGGATGATAGTCAGAGGCACAAGGGGCCTGGAAAGCCAGGGTTCAGGTTCGAGCCACTGTTTTAGACCAGACAGATTGGTGGAAGCAAGAGCAAGAGATGGGTGGGCATGCAGGGCACAGCCCAGGAAGCCACAAAGCCAAGACCCAAGCACGGAGAAGCCCTGTGAGCAGCAGACAGGCGAGGGTGGGCCCCCCACCCCCAGAGGGGCAGCCCTTCCTCCAGGACTGAGAGGTGCGGGACCCAAGGTGCCTGAATCTCCACCCCAGGAGGTACTCCCTGTGCCTCCTAGATAAGAGGAAGGGCCCTCCTAGAAGCACTCTCCACCCAGACCTCTGCCAAGATGTTGCTAGGGGCTGTGGCTTTTCTTGTTTTAGAAAAATAGGAAGTTTACCAGAGGAGTTGCTTCTGTGAAATCCATCAGGAGATCTCCAGGCTCCAAGGTAAAGGTCCCTCCCCGGTCAGAGGGGCTCTGCAAAGGTAAAGATATCCCCTGTTAGCGATGCCTCTGGATTGGCAGTAAATGCACCAGAAAGATGGTGGTCCACTTCCCCTCTACCCACTTGCTAACACTGAGCTCATCAGGATGCCCACCCCCCACATCTCCCTTGCTCATCAGTGCACAAAATGTTGAGACTGAACCCCAATTTTTTTTTCTGGAATCTTTATAGATAGAAGTAGGGCACGGGGTGGGGAAAGTGTCCTTTTTAGAGCTGAAAACAACTTTTCTTAAGTTTTCTGAGTGTTCTTTGATTGGTCTTTCGGGAAAAGGCTTTAAAGAGTCCTTTGAATGTATACCGAGAGAGCTGGCTGTCCTGTAGGGGAGGATCAATTGGCCTTTAGGAGCTAAACTGATCTGCAGGAAAAAAAGGGTAAGATGCTCATGGTGTGGGTGGGGGTGGCACCTCTGAACATTATGCTCCTTGGTTTTGGAAAACATTTTGTCCCTCCTGCTCTGGGGTCTTAGCTGCATGGGTGATCCCGAGGCCCTTTCGAGGGGAGGAAAAACAAGGAGCCATCGACCTGATATGAGCAGGGCCCTAAGGGGAGAGATGGCCAGGAGAGGGAGCCCTGAGGCCTTTGGAAGGATGTCGCCTGCTTTCCCTGCCTCCCTAGCACCACTCCCTTCTGTTTGTAAATATTTCTGCCTGGGTTTAACCAGCTGGAGGATCTGTGATGGGAGCCTGTGTCCACACTTGAGACCAAGTTATAAGAGGACTCTCTGCTGTGAAGAGAAACCCAACTTAGGATGCCAGGAGGTGATCTGCAGAAATGCAGAGAACCTCAGTCTCAGCCAGTCACTGGCTGCGGGTGTCAGCCACATTCCTGTGTCTGGTCCAAACTCCTGGGGAAAGGACCAGGGAAAGACCAGCCTTGGGCATGCGGGATATGGGCTTGGACTATTGCTATGTAGACACTGCCAAGAACTGTGACCCTGGAAACTGCAGAAGCCTCAGGCATCCAGTTCAGAGACCGGATGCTAGCCCCTGGGCTGGGTGAAGGAGCAGACCTTCTCATCTTAGGTGAAGGCAACTGAGTCTTGGAGGAAAAACAGCTTTGGAAGTGAGCAGTCACAAGGCCTGTGAATGGAGCACCTGGGAACTGATCAGAGCTCTGGTCTTGCCTTCAGGACAATTGTCCTGCGTGCACACCTTTCCTTGTGCAGGTGCACGGACCAAAACAACCTTTGACTCAGCAGCCACTTGGACAGCAATAGGTTTGTCTGTGTTTGGACCAATTGCCCAAGAGTGACCAATTGCTAAAGGTCACTCAGAGAAAATCAAGGGAAATGTCTCAGGTAAGAGACATTTTTTGTTACTTTCCATTCCCATCTCTGGCGATTTTCTGAAATTTCAAACTGATAAAGAGTAATATTTCCCATCTTCAAATTTTTAACATGGTTTATTTTGTAAAAGGAATGGGATGGAGATAAGTCTGTTTTTATTCCTTCAAGTTGTCCATCATGGAGTGGGGGGGGGGAATGTTTCTCTCTTGCTGTCATTACAGTAGAGTGATAGCTTATGTAAAATGATATTCTAAACCAAAATTGCCCCCAAGAATTCATTTAAATTGCTCTTAAAGTACAGTGTGTGTGGCTTTAGATCAGAGCATGTCTCCCACAAATTGCTGGCTCATATTTCGGGGACAGGGTACATGAAAACATGTCTTGACATTTTCAAATCTGAATACACAAAAAGCATCACGCAAAATTTAAGTGCACACACCGAAAGCCACTCACTCAAAGGACCCTGCCTGCCCAGCACATAGCGGTTGACCCTTAGTACTTCTGCCATACCTTGGCCGCTGGAGACAGCAGGCTCTTGCCTTCTGACTTGTGAGGTGAGCTGACTTTCTGGAGCTTGGGGGACACCAGTGGCACTGAGGCTTGTGTGGCAGCTGTGGTGGAGTCTGTGGCTGGGGCTGTGGTGACTCCCACCGCCTCGGCCAGGTCTGGAGGGAGGTCGTCTTCATCACTGCGGTTACTAAAAGCACATGAAGCTCTGCTCATTACAATAACACACGGGCTGCAGGGAGGCCTGGGCGGGGGCTCCCTCAACACGCGTCTACCTGACATGCAGCGGACAGAGTCAGAGACACTGACTTTTTTTATATACCAAAGCAAATTTGAGCTGGATTTTCTGTCACTCACCAGGAATTTTTTTTTTTAAATTGTGTGAAATACATATAAAGTGCTATTATCATTTTAAGTCCTTGTAACATTACAGTTCAGTAGCACTAAACACATTTACAATGTTGTGTAGCCATCACTACTACCTTTCCCCCAAATCTTTGCATCCACCCCAAAGAAACTCTGTATTGTTACTGAACATAGCTTTCTGTGGCTGCCTCCCCACAGCTTCTGGAAGCACCTATTCCTCTGTGTGTCTCAATGAATTTGACTACTCTAGGCACCTGTGGAAGCAAAATCGAACCACTTCTGTCCTTCTGGGTCTGGTTTGTCACATTCACTATGGTGTTTTCAAGGTACAATCATGTTGTAGCATTTATCAAGATGTCATTCTTCTATGGTGAAGAATCCACTGGGTGGGTGTACCACATATTCTTGTCCATTCATCTGTTGATGGACACTTGCGTTCCTTCATCTTCTAGCTCTGCAACTAACACTGCTATGAACACGAGTGTGCAAATACCTGCTTGGCTCCTTGCTTGCAATTCTTTTGGATTGGAATTTCATCTAGGGAGAGAGTTGCCGGGTCCTATGCTACTTCTTTGCTTAGCTTCTTGAGGAACCACCACAGCAAAGGCTATTATTTGGAGAGGTGGCCTTTAGGCAGGTGTATACAAGGCTCATAGAAACCTATGGCTTTGAGCCAAAGACATAATAGCCTCTTTTGTGGCCTTGTTAGGTACGAACTGTCTGTTGGGTGTGACAAGCTGGTTACAGGGGAGGAGTGTTTGTTTGGGGGCCAAGTAGCTTTGGTCTTAGAACCTCTCTGTGAGGAGGAGGTGACCTGGGAAGGAAAGGACTTGACAGGAAGCCACCACAATGGAGGGGAAGTCTGGCCTGGCACTGCAGCTTATCTCCAGGCTTGGATTTGGAAAGAAGCTTTGATGTCCCACAGCATACGCCAAGCCTGGTAGCCCCTTCTGACCTGGTCACCCTGGCACGGCACTGGAGCAGTGCCATTGATTCCCCATTCTTAGCGTGGACAATATCTTCTCCAACTTTTAGAAATTAAGACAAGTCTCCCAGCTGCTAACCTGCCAGCTTCCTGCCTGTGCAGTAGAGTTAACTCAGAAGGACTGAGATGCTCAAACTCCCTACATTCCAGAGGAACCACGGGCACTGACCAGCTCCTCGGAGACATCCTCTGGGCCCTGGGGTATCCTGCCTGGGGAGAGTCTGTGTACCCAACAGCTTGGGCCATGTCAGAGTTTATGTTCTCAATGTGCTATATGGTGAAACACCTGGATTTGTATACCTGGGGTTTTAGGACTATGCTGTATCAGTCTGATCTGAGGCAGGTGTGGGGGTGGTCTGATCTTAATAAGCTAAGGTCTGTCATATGGGCGCTCCATGCCTACGTGACTGACCCCTAATAAAAACCACTTTTCGTTGCATAAGTGAGCTTCCCTGGTTGGTAATACTCCCCATATATTGTTGCATGTTATTTCTGGGAGAATGAATCCCTGCCCATGTGACTCCACAGAGAGAGGGCAATGGGAGTATTTTCCTGGACTCCACCTCTGGGCTTTTTCTCTTGTTGAGATTAATTGGTTTCCTTCACTGTTACACATGGTAACCGTGAGTGTGACTGCTTTTCTTAGTTCTGTGAGTCCTTCTAGTGAGTCATCATCCTTGAGGATGGTCTTGGGGACCCCCGGCACACTGTCTCTACTGGAGCACCCCCTGAAGCCATCCTGGCACAGGGGTTGAGTTTTCAAAACGATAGCTGAGCTCAAGAGTAAAGATAAAAGATGGCTGATGGGCACAAATGAGGCCTGTGCCCAGTCTCTTCTGATGGTCCCTGGGCAGTGGGCCTCATGGGGAACATGGCCCCAGATCACAGCTGCAGTGTGGATTGGCCCTGGGGGATTTTAGATCAGTCTGTGTTTGGAAAAGACTCTCAAGGAGGATTTAAGATTCATTACTAAAAAGGGGAGGTGGAAGGTTTGAACAAGTTTGTGGAAAAATTAATAAGATATCACATATTTGCAACCACACAGATAAAGCAGGTCATGTAAGTTATCCGGGCATGTGCCCATTAAATTTTCTCAAAAACCTTGTGATTTGATCTCCAATTTTTCAGAGAATCAGATGTGATTTCATGTGATCAAAGTCACAAACCTGGGTACGTGGAGGAGTTGAGTTAAATTTTTTTTACCTCATTTTTAAAAAAATTTGGTAATGTGGCTAGTTAAGTGGAGGAGTGGGGTAATTTTTTTTCTTTTACTTCATTTAAAAGAACTGTATTCTTAAGAGCCTATTTATTATTTATTTTTACATAAAAAGCCATTTCAGAAAACGTAGCTCATCTTTCACAGCAGGAAGTCGAATAATACTGTCTAAACTTGAAAAGCTCCAAATTTTTCATGGGATTTTATAATCTTTTGTCATAACTTAGATCTTATGACAAAGAAATATATCTAAAATTCAGTAATGTTAAATTCAGAAAATTACATTTTTTAATACTTTATTTTTTAGCTGTAGATGGACACAATACCTTTATTTTTTATTTTTTTATGTGGTGCTGAGGATCGAACCCAGTGCTTCACATGTGCTGGGTGAGTGCTCTACCACTGAGCCACAACCCCAATGCCACAAAATAACATTTTAATAAATAAAATTTTATGTGTAGAGCTTTGTTTTGAAATTATTTTTTTTTATATTTTAACAAAATATGCACAGAAGCATGTCTAAAGTAATAATCATCTGCTGTGAACACCTGTATGTATATATATATATATATATATATATATATATATATATATATATATATATATATATACATATTTTTTTTTTGTGGTGCTGGGAATGAACCCATGCTAAGAGGGATTTCTGCCACTGAGCTATATCCTCACTCCCTACTTGGTATTTTTGATGTCATGGTTCTGGGGAATTGGTTACTTTTCTCTTTGAACTTCCATGTGTCATTTATTGAATATTTAAAGACTTTTTTCACTGTGTTCAAATAAGTAGCAAAGTTATATTCCTGGAAAAAGATAAAACAGCTCACCATTTTCTTCCCAGCCCATGGCTGGTCAGGAACTTCTAGGTTCAAGAGATCCTCCTGTCTCAGCCTCCTGAGTAGCTGAGGCCACAGGTGTGTACCACCTTGCCTGCTTTGCTAGCCATTTTCTAAAACCTACTAGCTATAAGTATAAAGATGACACTTCTATATGCCTTGACCTCTGCCGAGCTCCTCCACTCCCCTTTTTCTCTGCACACAGCAGCCAACACTTTTATTTCTTGTCATATTTCCAGGAAAGTACATGGCTGAGGTTTTTGTTTATATCCTTAAAAGCAGTGGCTAAAAAAAAAACTCCTTCAGAGCACCTGAATGTTACGATGGCCTTGGTAAAGCAGCTAACATCTGAATACACATAACTCAGGTCTAAGAGCCAGAAAAACTGTGATAGCACACACATCTGCACACAAAAAGGATAACACAGAAAATGGTTCCAGAAAATCCAAAATCTGAGTTTTTCCATCTGTGTTTCTTGACCACATGCCTTTCAACTTTATCAACCTCTAGGAGTTAAACAGATGAGCAAATGAGCAGTAACCACTGTTGGAGATTGAAGAACTATTTTTGGGGGAAGAAAGGTAACATTGGAAAAAAAATCCCATCCATTACATTTGCTATTTTCTACTAATGGGGAAATGCTGCCATTCTTTGATTTTTCAAAACAGAATATTTGGAGGCATTTTAATAAACATGCTTTTAAGTTACAGATTTGAAAAGGGTTTTCTTCAAAGAGCCAATTTGGTGAGTGAGTGAAATTTTCTTTCCTTCCGGGCCATCTAGCAGTCAGTCATTATTTCAAACATGATTACATATCCCAAATGGGTGATAATGACATTTCGAGTTTCAAAATGTAAAAGGAAAGGCAAATCCCGCCAGCCTTATCCTTGGGGAAGCAGATTTTTAACGGTTTAATTTGTTCCCCGGAGATCATTAGGACTGTTAATTATTTGAACCCTATTCATTTTGGTTTTCCTAGGAAATGCAGTTGCTATATTATCCGGAAGTTTCTATTAAAGCTAATGAGGTAGGATGTGTCCGTACTAATCCCCCTCCCGCAGCATGCCTTTTCCTCTTTTCACAAGATGCAAATGATAGCACTGAGACAGCTGTTTGAGAATTGCATCTGGAGCCACCTCCATGCCCTACACTTTCACACTCTGGAGACCCACAAACTTGGACTTTTTCTCAGAAGTTTCCAGGGGAAAAAAGGAAAGACAGCCCTTCGGTGGCCTGGCCCCTTACTATGGGCTTTACCTATGCTAACCCCCACAAAATCCCTGAGGTAGACATTAGCACAACCATTCTGCAGATGCAGAAATAATAGCTCAAAAATAAATTTTCCAAGAGCTTATAGCTGTAAACCAGCCAGGGCTCCAACAGAAAGAAGACCTTTCAGCCCCAGAGCCCCTATGCATTCCATTGCATCTGGAGATATCCCTGCAGCTCTCTGACCAAATCATGCCCAGGCACACTGCCCGGCCCAAAGCCAAGGTCAAGAAAAGGGAACTACCATTGGGACGACCACTATGACTTATCAACCACCACCTTTACTGCAACACCTTTCTGTCTTTTTTGGATTGTAACTCCATTTTGGATTTGACACTCGGCCTTTGCCACCAATACACGGTGACTCTTTGGATGGGAATTGTCAAAGACACTTTGCTCTTCCCTTGACCATCCCTAGAACAATCCAGTGCACACTGTAGCCAAGAGACCGATGTTAAACTGAGCTGAAAAGAAGTGGGTGGGCCCTGGTGGAATGTGGCTCCTTCCACTGGTCTCACAGAGAGCTCAGTGCTTAGCTCTGGCTCTGCTGACAGACCTTGCTACCCTTTACTATCAGGTCATGGGAGGCAGCTTTTGCTATGGCCTCCAGGGATCCCTGTCCTGGTATTCAGGCTCCCATATATGCCTCCTCTTGAGTATGAGCTGCACCTAGTGACTTGCTTCTCATGAATAGAATGTGGCAAAGTGATAAGTTGTCATTTCTGTGATTAGGTTACAAGACTGTGACCTTCGCCTTGCTAGCACCCTCTCTGGGTGACTACAACTGAGATAACCTTGGCCCAATGCCCTTGGGTACCAGGAACTATGGGAAGGGGCCTTCGGATGAGACCACAGCCCTCACACCTTGAACACAGTCTTGTGAGAGATCCTGACACAGAGGAGGAGCCAAGGAAGCCAAGCCTGGACTCCAGCCCCCCACAACTGGGAGGCAATAACGAGGATTGTTTGGGAGTAGTTTGGTTATACAGCAATCAATAATGATTATACATGTATGTTTTCAGGGGGAAAGTTCTGGTCCCATTATGACCCAAGTTGGAAATAAACAGAATTTGGAGAATGGCTCTCTCTCTGGGAATGGTATGAAGGGTTAAGAAACATTTAAAACCAATATGTTTAGCATCAGTGCGGTTATAACTGAAAAACTTGCAATACAGAACTCACAAACTATATTGTCTTGTTAACTTCCTCACTCGGGAAGGCTTGATTTCCGGTTTTTCCACAGCTGGTTGGGCAGTTTCCACACGTATAGGGATAGGACTTCTAGAGACATACCAAAAAAGAGAATACCACCAATAAAAAAGGTTTATGGTCTCGTTTTAGCCAAACAGACTGCTTTCTCAGTGAATTCATACCTTAATAACACTGGTAGTCCAGAAATCCATTTATTTTTGCCTTTCTGTTCTACTGATTTAATAACTGCAACTAAAAACAGAAAACCCCAAACAACCAACCAACAAGCAAAAATAATGGGGAAGAAAATATAGCAAGCACGGAACTAAATATAATTGGGGAACCAAATAAAATTTCCGTGTCCCACATAGCCACCCCACAATATGAATGTTTGATTCATAAACAGGTAAAATGGATAAACTAAACTCAGTTTGACTTCCTTAAAAGTTTTACTTTTAATCTGCTAGCTATGTATTTTAAACATAGCACAGAACACATTTCAAGAAAATAAAGCTGAGTAGTATACTTTATGTGAAAAATGCATAACCAGAAGCCCACTAGCATTTACTCTAAAACATTTTAATTCTATGTACATATGAAAATGTTAAAACTTAAGTTTAACTTTATCTTTCCTCAGTCATTTATGCCTGACAGGTGGTAGGCCCTACTCAAAACAGTGATTTTTAAGGAAAAGTTTTAAATATTTTTGAAGTGATCATGACTAAATTCATTTTTTAAAATATATTTATTTTATTTATTTATTTTTATGTGGTGCTGAGGATCAAACTCAGTGACTTACATGTGGGAGGCAAGTGCTCTGCCTCTGAGCCACACATCCATCCTCAGCTCCACTAAATTCATTTATTAAAAGTCAGTAATGACTTTCTTTTGGGGACAGGGGAAGGCACCAAGGATTGAACTCAGGGGCTCTTGACTACTGAGACACATCCCCAGCCCTATTTTGTATTTTATTTAGAGACAGGGTCTCACTGGGTTGCTTAACACCTCGCCTTTGCTGAGGCTGGCTTTGAACTCATGATCCTCCTGCCTCAGCCTCCAGAGCCCCTGGGATGACAGGCATGCACCATCACACCCGACTGAATCACTAATGACTTTCTAGCACCAAAGGAGCATCTAAACAAATTGAGACCTTCAGCAAGGGACCTCAACAAGTCAATTAACATTTCTGAGCCTCTGTGTTTTCTTCTATCCAATGCCTAATTATTTGTGATCAGTATGTGGCTGGTGCCTAATAAATGTTTGCTGAGTAACTACAGGAATGAGCAAATGAGGACCTGAAGTCAGTGGCTTCTCAGGCTGGGAGCTCAGAGGAAGCTGAACATGGACCTTGGAAGATTTTAGCCTTGTAGGAGCTCAGACCTCTGCTTGGGTAGAATGGCTGATATCTGTGAAAGCTTTGCAGAGAAGTTTCCTCCTAACCACAGGGAGGCCAGACCAGCAAGGTGGGAGACAGTGTGGAGACCTGGCTGAATGTAGGGCACTGGAAATGCTGACAAGGGAGGTCCCAGTGACAAAGTAAGGGATGACAGGGGGCCACGTCACCAGGGGCCCAAGTCTGAGGTGTTTACTCTGAAGGCAATGGCAGTCTCTAAAGGCTTTAAGAAGGGGAGTGGCATAGTCAGGTGCAATTTGGAAAGGTGCTCAGAAGGGGACATGGGAGAAGGGAGGCCAGGGCATCTTAGAGTACTGTTGGGATAGTATCCAGGATGGGCAGTAACGAGGCCTGGGAGTCAGCAGGGATTATGATTCTGGAGAGGAAAGGATGGATGTGGCGGTAGTAGGAAAGCCACATTGATAGGATGTGGTGGCCAACTAGGTGAGGGGATGAGGCAGGAGGTTTTCAGGCCAGGGTAAGGAGAAGGGAAAGTCATCAAGATGGGAAAACAGGTGGAGGATGATGGAGGAGGGTGGAAAGAGATGAACTGAATTTTTGGAATGTCCAGAGGGTAAGGTGTCTCTGGTGGAAGACAGATTTATACCAAGAACATAGGTTGGAAATCATAAGGTGATAAAAAGGAATGTTAACTTTTTAAAAAATATATATTTTTAGTTTAAGATGGACTCAGTACCTTTATTTGGTTTATTTAGTTTTTTTATGTGGTGCTGGGGATCGAAACCAGTGTCCCATGCATGCTGGGCTAGCGCTCTACCACTGAGCCACAACCCCAGCCCAGAATGTTAAATTTTTTTTTAAAAAAATATATATATTTTTTGTTGTCAATGGACCTTTATTTTATTTATTTATATGTGGTGCTGAGAATTGAACCCAGTGCCTCACACCTGCTAGGCAAGCGTTCTACCACTGAGCAACTACCCCAGCCCCGGAATATTAACTTTTACTTTGGGCATCAAGCGAGTAGTTCTATACACCTGAGCTGTTTGTTAAATTGCTGACTCTGTCCCCATCAGCATCCCCCCCCCCAATAGGATCTGAAGGCCCTGGAGTTGGACTCAAAAGTCTGTGCCTTTAACAAGAGACGATGGAGTTGTCCTTGGACATTTTGGGGGGAAACTCTACCCTAGGGAGCCCCTACAGATGTTAGTAGACAACAGGCTGGTAATGAAGCTGCCACGATCCATAGGTTGCTACTGATCTGGGCACATGACAAGGTCATAACTCTATGTTATGAGACAACCCAAGTGTCTAAAATTCTTTGTTGGTATAGCAGGTAGTGATATTAATTCTGAGACTCAGCAGCAGTTGTTTGAGGTGGGTCTTTGAGGTTCACATTCCCTTAGTTTCATTTTCCCTCTCTGATGGAAATTATCAGCTAATTCATAGCATGACATAACATGTCAGCAATGTTTTGAAGATAATGTTGGCTACACCGAGTGTCATCTCCCCGTTCAAACAAGAAGCAACAGACCTTACATTAGTGTCCTGAAGACTGGATTTCTTATTGATATTTACAAATGTCGATTCCTCTTTTCCAATCTGTAAGACAAAACGGGTTAGTCCAAACTGAATCTCTTGGCATGCAAAAATGTTTTCAAGTCTTCCACAATCTAAGGATTATAGAAATGTGAAGGTGGACCAAAGAGCGAATTCATCATGTATTCAGTCAATAGCAAACCTTGTTATGGTATTTATGTAAGTTTACAGAAATGTGTTTTCTTGAGTCATTCTCCTCCATGGGGATTAAGACATAATTATTCAAATGCAATCAATTATTGTATTCCTACTTTTATTGAACACCTGCTACGTGCCAGCTCATGCTTGAATGAGAAAGGGATGGTGTGGGAAAAGCCAAACCCACAACTGGCTCACCTCACAGTTTAGATCGGGAATAATTACCAGCTGTATGCTCACACAGCCTTACAGTTTACAAAGGGATCTGGAATCTGTTCTTTCACATCAGTGGAACAAGCCTGGGAGGAATTACATCATTTGATTTTGACAGAAGCCTTGTCTTCTTCCCTCTGGTGAGTTCCAAAGAATGACAGGGGAGGAAGGGACACCCACTCAGCCTGCCAGGCCAGCAGAACGCACAGTGCTCGATGACAGACACAGCCCTCATGCTTGTCACAGCACACAGAGCTGCGCCTCTGTTCTAAGCATACAGTGAGTGGTACTGCTCGGACCCTGGCTCAGAGGGCACTGACCGGTTGGCCTGCATGGGTGCCAAACACATTCATCCCTGGCTCCCTGTTGGAACTCGATTCTTTTCCTTACACCCTTGCTCTACATGGAGGCCAAGAGGGAATTCAGACCTAACTCTCTGGGGGGATGCACAACCCTTTCCCCACAGCCCCTCGGGACACTCTAAGCCAGGGGTTCTTAAGGCAGGTCCCTGTTTTCCCGTGAACACTCAGCAGCATCTCCCGTTCTATGATAATAGTGGGAACTGTTTCACAAAGTGTTCTGAGACCAATCAGGTGTGAAGGAAACTAAAACAGGTTTCTTTGCTGCAGGACTTCTCAGAACCTATTAGAAGATGTGTGCATTGGGACTGTTTCAGGGGATTTAGTGAGCAGAATTTCCAGAACAATCAGGAAGCCTCCTGGAGGGCTGGTGCACCTTATAACATCTTGGGGAACGCTGCTCTGAAATTACTGAGTTCTCATCTCACTCTCTCCTCCTTTCCTCCTTTCATGCCCTTCCACCCTGTCTGTGGCTAGGGCACTCTCTTTTCTTCATATCTGTTTCTCATCTTTTTCTATATTTTGCAGAATGAAAAGTTTACAACACACTGTACTTCCTCACTGGTGCAGAAACATGGGTCCTCCTCGGATGGTGTGAGCAGAATGGGGCCACTGGGCACATGATAGAGCTTTCTAGAGTGGATCAAAGCAGCTTTGTAAACTTGGAATATGTCAGTATTATTTGTTCCACGACAGTATAAAAATGGCATACTCTAAAATGATGAAGATAGCTGGATTAAGACAAAGGTAATGTGTGACTATAACTTTAATATCTAACATGCAATGAGAAGAAGGTCAACATGGTCATCCTATAAAAAGTGCTACCACTGTTACCTACAATCAGAGCCCCTGACAACTTCATCACGCCCGATCTGTAGTAATTATTGTCAATATCCACACAATGGTAGGGCAAGGCATTGTGTTGGGTACTGGGTACTTTACACAGATGGTCTCATTCAGTCTTCACAGTAACCTAAGGTGGTTAGATACCATTTTCCTCATTTTACACCTGAGAAAAACCGAGGCTCAGATTAATGAACAAGTTTAAGGTGATGCTGCTGAAACATGGTAGACTGATTTGAACCCAGGCCACCTGACTTTGAAACTTATATTCTCTACCTTACTGCTTCCTGTTTGGATCACAGTTCCCAAATAAGAAGAAATTCTGTAAGCCCTTTCTGGGTTTTCATGGTATGTTCTGGAAGGATCTAAATTACTCAGATTGCTAAATAAATGGAAATAATAATATAAGAGATTACTAAATATTGCTTTGTCCTCAGCAACACAGGCATAAATATTAAGTTCATGAGTGAGCTCACGGACAACTGTAGCTTTTCATATACTGGTTCCAGGGCAGGGATGACAAATGGATTTCTACTTGAGTGACAACCTTGTTGACTGGTATCTCCTTGGAAGACCTTTTGTATAGAAGATAATCCTGAGGCTGCATTTAGGGTCACAGGGTGTGTGGTGATCACTGCATATAACCAGTGAGGTCTGTTAGGGGTGCTAGTGGTGGGTAACGAGAGTTATGGAACTGTCGTCTCTCATCTCCAGCTTGTCCTCCGCACCTCTACTTGGTGGACCTGAGGCAGAACCAGCAAATTCAGTAACTGCTTTCCCAGTTGGCTTCAGGATAGGACATGTCAATAGGGGGCGCTAGTGGGGCAGAACTTGCTCTTTTCTGTTTGTTTCTAGCTTCCTTGAGTCACCCCATCCTGGCTGCTTCACCTGGGCAGTGGCAGTTCCTCCAGGCCACATGGGTTTCTTACTCCAGCTCAGAGACACCAGCACTGGCTGCTGGGACCCTTACTAAGAAATCCAAATTTCATCTGCGTGTCCCTGGGCCATGGAGCTGGAAAGTGCTTCCTTGCAGTTTCTCTTTCTAGTTCCTGAGAATAGTGTGACTCCGAGTGTGGCCCCAGGAGCTGGTTGGAAATGCCTATTTCCTCAGCCCGACCCTGACCTGCTGAATCCATGGGGCTGGGCCAGCTCTCCTGAGGACTCACACATACCTAATTAATAACTGGATATCAGTTAAGAATTCTTGCTACTAAAGTTTCAGTTCACCTACCAAGGCATGATTCCTATCTCCAGTCTGGACCCCAACTGACGTGGTGTCTGGGTCCCTCCCGATGGTGTGGAGGAAGTCCGTAACCTGAACGCAAGGGAGCCAGGCTCCCCATACCTGGGCACTCACCCGGGAAGCGTTCTCCAGCTGCGCTTTCAGAATGTTGCACTTCACGTGATCTGCCACGGGCGAGGGCAACAGGGGTGTCTGAAGAGTCTTCTCAGAGACCTTCTTTTCCTCGGCCTGAAACAAATCAAAATCCAGATGATGGATTGTAAGCAGAAAACAAAACATGCACGTTAACTTTCCCAATGGCTGCGACTGCACAGAATACAGATCCAAGTATCCAGGCAAATGTGCCACCAGCTCCATGCATCTGTGCCCCAGGTTCACTCATCCTCTTATGAGGGAGGGAGAAGACACATCAGGAGCTGGGAGCGAGGCCTGAGAAGGTGAGGAAGGGGATCATCAGGGGTCAGGCGGCAAGAGCCTGTGGCAGAACCGGGCTAGGGCTTCAACTTCTCTATTCATTCTCCCCACAATCGCAAGTCTGACACAGAAAGCCAACACTGTGACTTGTAGGGTCAAGGGAAAGAGTGCAAAATATCTGTGGATGTTTTTACAATAAATCTTGCTAAAAACTGGTGTGTGTGTATGTGTGTTTTGCTGGGGACTGAACCCAAGGCCTTGTGCATACTAAGCAAGTGCCCTACCACTGAGCTAAATCTCCAGTCCTAAAACTGTGATTCTTAACAAGGAATTTGTATCTATATTCCTTTTTTGGAGGGGGCTGGAAATTGAACCCAGGGATAATCACATGCTCTACCATTCAACTACACCCCCAGCCCCTGTTACAGTATTGCAGAGCATCTTGGAAATTGGTACCACCTTCACTCTTTTTACCATCTCCCGAGTGTTAACTGAACATGTACCTAAAATTCCTGTGATCCCAGGGCACCCTGGGACAAATATTCATATTTGAACTATGCTCAAAGCAATGATATCTTTGAAATCTTAGGCTTTGTAACTCTTCTATGTATTATTATAGACATGATGACATTTCCATAATAATTAAAATAAAAAGCACTTATCCACATGGGTAATCCCAACTCATCTTTAATGGTACACACACCACTTTTGGGAAATAATGTCTTATTGCTAACTGTACTATCATGGCCATTGCATACCCCAGCACTAATATGGTGCTTGATGCAGAGTAGGTGTCCATTAAACACCTACTGAGGACAATTATGATGATATACAGTTATCATCAGAAGAGATATGCATTTAATAAGAAAGCACAAAACCACATGATTGCCAGAGGCAATCCAGCAATACCAATATCATGTCAGCCATCCTGTACGAGGGCAAGAAGGAGATGTTCTAAAGCCCTCAAGTTCTTCATGTCCCCAAATTATTTGGTCACTAATTTGAAAGTCCTCTTGAGCACCTTGGTACTCTTAGTAGCAATATTATAAAAGCCATAGAGGCAGCACAAGGCAATTGGCTGATGGACACCACTTGACAAAGAAAAGAGGACATAGTATACAGGTTCCCAGGGGGACCGCCAGACACACAGAGGAGCGTTTGTGAGAGCAAGCAGCAATTTCACATAATGCCAGAACAGGCAGAGGCAAAAAACCCAGATCTGCTCCTCAGCTTTGCCTTCTTTTAGTACTATTTAAAAAGAGAGTGAGGTTGCTAGGGGTGTAGCTCAGTAGTGAAGAGTGTTCTCTAGTGTGTGCAAAGCCCTGGGTTCGTTTCCCACCAGTGCATGCATGTACACACACACACACACACACACACGATGATAGTGATGATAAAAAGAAAAATAACTCCAGTGGGTAACATTTACTGAGAGCTTACTATGAGTCAGCTGTTGACTATAAATTTCATATGCATGTCTCACTTAATCCTCTCATTTGTTCCACCCATTTGGAAGTAGGTACAAGTATTATCCTCCCCACTTTTATAAAAGGTGAAGGATTTATATGATATAAACAGAAACCAGAGAATTAATATCCTCATTTTATATATGAGAAAAACAAAGCAGAGAGATGGGAAGTGACTTGTCCAAGATCACACAGGAGATAAGCAGAAGGGCCAACATTCGCATTCAGGAACAGTGGCTTTGGTAGACGCAGCCCAGAGCTCCTAACCACACCACCATACTGCTCCCCTTGCCTTCTCTGACTCAGTCTCTCTCTCTCTCTTTTTTAAGAAATGTCTTTCAGTTGTCGGTGGACCTTTATTTTTTATCTATCTATCTATCTATATGCAGTGCTGAGAATCGAACCCAGTTCCTCACACATGCTAGGCAAGTGCTCTACCACTGACCTACAACCCCAGCCCATCTCTCATTCTCTTTATTCACAAGATTTTCAGGATGTTCAAGTAAGGAAAAAAATTTTTTAAGATACAAATGACACTTTCATGTCAGATTCTTTGGTTAGAAAAGAAAATATAACAAAAAGTTACTTTGGATGGGAGGACAGTAATGACCCTAAGCCATCTAGTTGTGCTTGAAGAACTGGCTCTTTTGACTAGATTCATTATCCTGAGGGACTTAAGTTTTCTCCTTTAGGCAGATCACTAACTTATTTATAACTTGTATTTTAAAAGGTAGGATTTGTAGCATAGACTTTGGATAATTTATCTTGTGTTTATAAATCCTGTTATGTAAAGATATCTGTTCCATATTAAATGGATGTTTTCATTGATATGTGAAGAGTTAATTTTTTAATTAGGTTTAATTTTTCTGGAATAATATAGGAATGAAATTAGTTATTAAGCCCATCTGAGGTTTTTTGACAATTGCTTGAGGGAATGTGGTTATACTGACAGTAATGACCGAAGACCTACTTAAAGAAACGAAATGCTGCTAAAATAAGAAGAGAACAGCAATTCAGCAACGATTTCCCCCCAGAACTTTGGAATTCTAAATTACTTTTTTGGACATAAAATTCATGCCATCTCATTCCTGTCCCATCTGGATGAAGCAAGAGCAATAATGTTCAGCTTTACGAATTGACTCAGGTAAAGGCCGACATAAATTTTGGAAATTTTGTGAAACATTATATAATTTTTTTTTTTGTTTCAAAGGCATTTCTCTCCAGGCATGGTGGTACATGACTGTAATCCTAGCTACTGAGGAGGCCAAAGCAGGAGGATCACAAGTTCAAAGCCAACCTAGGCAACTTAGTGAGACCCTGGGGGGAAAACAAAATAAAAAGGTCTGGGAGTGTAACTCAGTGGTAGAGCACCCGTGGGACAATCCCCAGTACCCCCCAACACACACACACACACACACACAGAAAAAGGCATTTCTATGGGAGATCACAAAACAACAGGTCCAGTCTGGAGGAAGGTCCCAGAATGTTGTGCTTTCTGTGTTCTGAATTATCATACTTGATATTTTATGTTCAGCTTGAATCGTGGAAAGACACTTTATGGTTAAATATTTCAAAATACACAAATGGATGCCAATTGGGCCTTTGGATTATTATAGTTGGAAATAGGCCATCTGTTGGAAGATGTCATCTGGGAATAAAGAAATGATCAGATGCATATTTAAATTGTTGATACAAATTGTTTACACATTGGAAATCTGATGACATTCATATTCCTGTGATAATTCTGGGTGTGACTTTGGAACCGAGTAGTGAAAATGACTTCTCATCATTAAATAATCCCAGGGGGTCATCTAAGAACAAACAGAAGATGCTCCATCTTTAAGGTTGGGGGAAAAAAAACTTTAAAAGTCATCCAAGCCAGTGTTCCCAATTGTGATATCATGCTATCAAGTGAGGTCTATTGCAAGAAATGCTCTATTGATGACAAAGAATCATAGTGTGAAATAATATGCTATGTTCATAGGTTGGGACAGCGTCAGAGTTACCTGGATAATCGCTTTGACCTAGGTTTCTTGCTTACTAATCTTCCTTTCTTTCCTGTTCTCTTCTTTTTTTGATGCTGGGGATTGAACCCAGGGCCTTGTGTGTGCTAAGCATGAGCTCTCCTCTGAGCTACACTCCCAGCCCCCTAATGTATTTCTCTGAATGGAGGATAAAAAAGGGAAGTTATAATAAGTTATAGCTGAGCTACAGGGCAATGCTCTGTAATGCACAGATGTTCCAGATATGCCTTGACCCAGAGCAAGCCACTGTCCCCATTATCCTACCAATGGTCATGGCAACTACAAATGGCTATTGCACTTGTGAGTTCTCTGCTGTTCAATATGCTGTATTTCACTGCAAAATAGTTCTAGATTTTGTCCAACTCTGGGTAAGCCCGTATTCAACCCATTTATCATGTGTATTGTTGAAGAAAAGTTGAAAACCAAGAGATTAAGAAGAGGGAGAAGATCAATCCAGGGGGAACATGATCTATTGGGCAATGCCCAGCCCTGTAATTCACCCAGCAAGACGGTAAGTGAAGTTTTGCTCCTAAAAGACAGCCTGAGCCGAAAAGTCAAGAAAGATGGTAGAAGTCCCTCCAGGCACTGGCATTTGGTTTAACAGGCAGGCCGCGTTAACAGGCCCAGGTCTGGTATGAGCACCAAGTCCATGTTCATGCAGAGCCCCGGGCGCTGGCACCTTGTTAATGTTGATATGCAGAGTGGGCCAGGGTCCAGCAGCCTTCACTGTCTCCAGCTCCAGCTTCTTCAGATGGGCAGCAGCATCACTGAACAGAGCAGGTGGTCCAGGACTCAGTTCTACACAGCAGCCGGGGAAAATGAATAAGGATGGGTCAAAGGAGAGACAGCTATAGAGGCTAAGGGACACTCGCCAGATCCTGGCCCCCAGCACCCTGTTTGCCTGCCTCCTTGTCTTCTTGCTTGATGGGTTGTGAGAATATCTGAGGTCACGGTTTCAAGGTCTAACTCCGCCCCCATCAGCTCCATGAGCTGGGTGGGCCTGGCTAAAGTGCTTTACCTTTCTGAGCCTCGGAGTCATTTTTAAATAAAAATAAAATTATTTACCTTGTAGGGTTGCTGTGAACATTAAGTGAGTTTTTATTCATATACAAGTGTTTTAAAAGTGAAAAAGCTCTATGCAAACTAGAAAGATTAGTATTCAGTCTAAGAGACACAAAAATGTGCCCTTAAAAGCCATGTTATGTTTCTAAAATCAAATCCACTGACTTTGATTTTTTTGTACCACTGGGGATTAGTTGGCCACCTTTTCTACCTTTAGCTTGAATTTACTCACTGATATATTAAATATTCATTACAAAGTAAAACTTGTCCTAATAGTCAATTGGGATCTAGGAAGCCGAAAGAAAAGAGATGCATGAGACACAATTCTGGTCTAAAGGGAGAGACAGAGACATGCACAGATACTTCAAATAAAAAGCAGCAAAAGTCATAATTAGTGATAGGAACGAGAGAGAAGGCACTCCAAAGCCTGGATTGGTGATAAAGAACGATTCACGGATAACATTTGAGCTGGTTCCTGAGGGATGCATAGGACTTCACCAGGACAGAGAAAAGCCTTCTAGGAAGAGGCAACAAGTGCAAGGGACAGAGCTGGCACAGCATTCGGTGAGAGGAGAGGCGCTCTGTGTAGCCAGAGTGAGCTAAGGAGTCGGGGAGGCTGGAGACCTTGGCAGGAGCCAGGTTATGAAGGTCTGTGTGTGGCCAGGCTCAGCAGGGTGGCCTTCATCCCAGGACAGTGAACTCCTGCAAGGCCTTAAGGCATCTGGATAGAGCCATCTGGTGAAAGTAGATTTGGCAGCTTTTTCAGGGAGGCTGGAGGAGGTGCCCATCGGGAGGTTGCCACGATTACCCAGATATAAGATGAGGCAGGGATTCGGCATAGGCAGCCGGGGCAGCCATGAGGGCACAGAGCTTAGTCTTCACACAAGTGGGTTATGAGTACCCATATCCAGCTCAGTCAACCCAGAATTGCTTTCTGTGGTCAATGAAGGAGAGGATCGTGGTGTTTTACCGGCTCCCAGGCTCATGCCATGCTGGGGCTGGAAGAGCCCTTGGTTCTCATCTCCTCACCTCCACCCCATCCCCAGAAGAGGAAATCAAGGCACCGTGAGGGACCCCGCCCTACAGCAGGAACCAGAGCCAACACCACCTGACTCTGCCTTAGCACCAGATGGAGAACCAGTCCTTTCCCCCAGTTCACCAGAGGCAAATTCCTTGCTAAAATAAAAGACAATTTCTAAAAAAAAAAAAATAAAAATAAAATAGCAGACATACAAAACCCAAGCCTGCGGGTTAAAATTAGATGGGAGAGAGAGAACCTCACTCTGTCGTTGTATTACTAACGGAGTTCTGATGGGGACCCGCATCAGTGGTCCACCTGACACCACCTTGTTCTCAGAAGTCCCATGTCAGAAAGTGGGCAGGACAGGTTTCCCTGGAATTAGGACAGTGGCAATTCCAGCCACCACCTCCCTGCCCTCTTTCTCCTTCCTATTGCTTGAGCCAGGGCTGGATACTGTATCCGCAGAGGACTGGGGACAATGGCTACCCTGTAATGACACTGGAGACTATGACTCCCAAGTGCCCCTACCTAAAGGCATCAGGCTCTTCTCTGTCCCCATCCAAACCCAGTAACCAGCATAGCATCACCTCCAGTGTTGCCTGGGAAGGGTCTGCCTTGAGCTGCTAGAGAAGCCACTCCTGCCAGCAGGAGTCCCCCTCCTCCCCCAACTCACTTGTGAGGGACTTGCTGCTGGAGTTCGGGGACCTCAAGGGCCCCTCCTTGTTCTCCAGGGTCAGTGACAGGCCGTAGTTGGAGTGGTGCTGGTGTTGGCGGTGATGCCGTCCCGAAGCCTTGGGGGGGAACGGGGTGCCCCCGTTCTCCTCGATGCCAAAGGGCAGCCGGTCCGAGGGGCTGAGCACAGGGGAGGGGAGCGGGTAGCTGTGGTGGCGACAGAGTCAGGATTTAGAAAAGCAAAACATCTTGATCATCCGGTAGGTTTCGAAAGATGATCTTTAAGCGTCAAATACCAAAGAGAAACGGGTTCAACACATAAGATTCCTGCTTAAAATGGGAGGTCATGGGCATTGTATGGAGGGCGAGGTGGAAATCTGCATAGATCAGAGACCTTCTTCCTTGGACCTTAAAAAATTCTTGATTTGGATCCTGGGGTGGTAGCTCAATGGCAGCGTGCTTGCCTGGCACGTATGAGGCACTGGGTTCGACTCTTAGCACCCCATAAAAATAAATAAATAAAGCTATTGTGTCCATCTACAGCTAAAAAATATTTTTTTAAAAAAATTCTTAATTTTGAAATGGAATGAAAACATTGCTATATTTTAGAGGCATTCTCTAAATGGAAGACATGACAACTATAATAAAATGTTAAATGATCCTAGAAGATCATGTTACAAACTAGAAGTTCCTCTCCACCCTGCCCAGCACATTGAAAGCCCAATATTGTCACACTTTTTGATTCCAATGGCTCCTCTCTGTGTTTACCAATATTTTCCTGTTCAAAGCCCCTTCATCCCCCACCTAGACTCCTGGACAAGATTCTCTCCCACCCTAGACTCCCTCCTTCAGTCCCTCCCCCACAGAGAAGTTTCCAGAATGGTATTCTAATTATCTTCCAGAGGAGGACGCTCTTCCTGGGGGAGCTGGAATACATCTCATCTTCACCCTTTCAGGACAGAAATCCCCCTTGGAAATCCAAGGAACCCCACAGACCTTCCCTGCAGATGCAAAGTTCCCCAGGACTCCAGGGCTGCTGGAACTGTCTGGGGACTCGTTAAGAGCTAGGCTGGCAGGAGAGGATGCACACTACTTTACACAGCACTTGTGGCCTCCAGGAACCTTGCCCCCTCCTCTTGCAGCCCCATCTCTAGCAACGTCCCTTCTACACACTAACCCCTTCCATCCTGAGCATCCCTCATCTCTCAACAGGCTGAGATGCCCCTTCCTTTGGAAAGATTTCCATTAAGAGCTGGCTGAGCTGTGATCCCGCCTCACACTGCCAGGCGGGCTCACCCCGCCTTCTGCTGTCCAGATTCCAGCGCCCACTACCTTCTCTCTGCCTTCAAGGGGCTCACGGTCCAAGTACCCTACAACTCTGTGTTTCAGGAACTTGCGATCATACTACACCAACGGCAGAAGTTGGGAGAGCAGAAGTAGAGACAGTTAACTCCTTTGCAGAGGGGAAGGTGTCACAAGGGAGGGAACATCCAGGGGGAGACGGTAAAGCTTTAGGGGCCATTTCTGAAATGTAATCCTCTTTCTTACAGGAGACCCCATTCTTCATGGGGTCTTTCCCCCTCAGGGTTGGGCCTGAGACTTGATTCCAGCCTATCCAGCTGGAATCTTCCATCCTAGTTCTGGGGTGTGACCCAATCAGAGACCATTAGAGTTGACCCTAAAATTTAACATACAAAATCCAAAAGACAGGGTCTCTCTCTCTCTCTTTGTGAGAGTCAAGCAGGGCCTTTTGGTGACTTCTCTGGGCCCTAAGCACTTCTGCCTTTTGTCCCTTCTTTATTAAAAAAAATTAAAAAATTGTATTTCATGGCAATGTTCATATAAAAGTATGTTAAACATTTTCTCCAACTAAAAGTTCATTTCTATTTTAAAAGAAATTAAAACCTATTTGTGAGCTTATAAAGTACTGTGGACCTAAGGCTCTGTGCCCACAGTGTAGAGAACACACTAGCCATGACCATAAGGATGATGTACACTGAGGCTTCTTGTGACCATCATCCCTGGACATAAAGCAGAAGTATCTGTGGGAATGAGGTCAATGAAGGGAGAAATGATGAGCAGAGGTTAAAAGCAGATGGAGCAAGAATAAGTAATGGTATTATTTGAGTGCCTAGATCCTGCACACCTGAAACCCCTACTACCACGAACCTTTTCAATGACAAGGTTCAGAAAATGCACTGATTGAGGTGGCTGTGTTTCTCCCATTTATAAACCACGTTATCAATTGGTGCTGGTGTTGGGTTCTTTGTTTTGCTCTGTGTGTGTGTGTGTGTGTGTGTGTGTGTGTGAGAGAGAGAGAGAGAGAGAGAGAGAGAAGAGGGAGTGAGGAGGAGAACAGCAGGGGTCAAGACTAAGAAGACAAGGGGGCTAGTTAGGAAGAGAGAAGGGGCCAGGCCACCATCAGGGCAGTGATGCCTGGTGGAAAGTCTGTGGGCTGCTGTCTGGGATATTCAGACAGGGTGTGAGCAGGCTTGCAGGCCTGTCACCTTGGGTCACTGGGGGAAGGAGGAGACCTCTGCTGCAGAGGTAGGAGGTTCCCAGCAGAAATGGCACCGGTGGTCCCCCACAGTGCCATGAGAGCTGGGTTTCTGATGTACCCCAACTGTCCCCTGAAGACTTAGCTCAAGCACAATCCTACATTGAGTGTGTGCCCTTAAGGATGTGGACAATGATGTGGTTTGGCTTTGGGGGTCATGCTCCATCCCCCATCTCTTTCCAACCTGAAAGGTCCAGGGTATCCACCCTCCCGTGGAAGCAGGAATGGGACAGAAAAAGGAGCACGAGGTGGAGCTGGAATACATGGGCCTGAGTCTTGGTCCTGCCTCAACCTGGCAGGGGAACCCCTGGGTGGCTGCTCGCGCGGGACCCCACTTCCCCCATCTGTAACATGAGGCAGGTTAGGCGACTTCTGGCAAACTTCCAGATCTGAGAATCACTCTTTCTCCCAATTATCTATCTAGTACCAGCCACATCCCAGGTACCGGGCTACCTGTTTTATGTAAAACAGCACACGTGATAGGTGTAGAGGCCTTTGCTGGACACGCAGTAGTGCGCCACAAGTCTTGGAGAAAGGAAGAGAGGAGAGAAGGAACCAAGGGTGGGTGGAGGGAGGGGGGAGGGGGAGAGGATGGACCAAAGAAGTTGGAGAGCTGGGATTGGACGACAGCTCCGTGGAGTCCAAATCCTACTAACATTATTTTCCTGTCTCCTAATTATGTTGAAAAATAATATTTACCCTCAAGAGAGAGGTACAGAGACTGGGAGCTCAGAAGACAGAAAATGCCCTTTGCCCTGAAGGACTTCAGGCTCATCTCGCCTCTGCCCTTCTTTCTGGGCCACTGCCAGCCCATTAAAGGTCTGAGTGGGCAGTGCCATGGTCTAGGCAGGGGGACAGATCAGAGACACACTGAGAGGAAGAGAGGGACAGGATATGGGTACTGGCTGGATTTGAGAAAGAGAACATGGAGACAGGGAGGGGTGAGGACACCCTAAATATTTTTTAGCCTCGAAGACCAGGCACATGGCATGTCATTAATAGGAAGAAAAAAAGGTGGCGGATGAGGGCTACTTTGACATGCTTGAGCTTCAAATGAGTTATAGTGAGTGTGAGAATGAACGCCCAAAGGAAAAGATGTCTTGCCGCAGAGATCTGGCACACGTTCAGGCTGGAAGTGGAGTTGGAAAGCTTTGACTAAGCGTTTCAGAAAGATGGCAAATAGACACCACTTCTGATGCCAGCTCCGATTGATCCTCACCCTCTGCCTAGAGTACAAGATGCAGAGGGATTCTGGGATTATGCCCAGCTCAGGAGGAGAGTGCTGTGATTGATTAGTGATGCCTGTCAAGGACTTGGAAAAGCACCTCGGTGTCACATACTTGTCTTTCCAAGTTAAAAGTGCGTGCCTTTTCATTTCAAGGAAACTCAGACCAAAGGGTCAAATAGTAAAGTGCAGGGGGTAAGAAACTGCATTTAATAACGTTTCAAGTCAAAGGTGCATGGGTGACTTTCCTCTTACTGCAACTCTAGGGGGTAGACTCAGAAAGAGAGAAATGGAAAGAGGAACAGATGAGTGTCGGAAGCTGCCTGAGGCTGGACCCAGAAATGTGGTCAGGCTAAGTGTGTCTGGAAGAGCAAAGGTTCCTAAACAGTTAGTGACCTGAGAGTGTCCTCAGCTCATACATATGGAGGAACATCCTAAGATACCTAACATGGAGTCTCAAGGGGCTGTGGGTCCATTAAGGAAATTTCTCATGGACTCATTGAAACTCCTCGAGTTGCCATTCACATAGACCATGGTGTAATTGAGTGGCCATGACGTTGTGCGTCTGCCTGTTCATACAGTCTGAAGAGAAGGTCAAGCCCACCCTAGAAGGTCCAAGAGCATGTAGCAGCCCATGAGCCTCAGGGATGTTGGCTAAGGCTCAGGAGATTGCCAGCTCCATGTCCACCATCACCAGAGACAGGCTCATGAGGCTCTGACATTCTGGAAAGGAGGTCACAGATCGTGGCTTCAGAGTGGGTGGCAAAGGTGGGATATGTAGGCTTTGGCCTCTGCTTCCCTGAGCTGACAGGGGAAGGGACCGTGGTGGAAGATGGGGGCTGTTATGTGCTATGTGCCTGTCCTGTGCTAAGCACCTCAACTTCCACACCATCCTGCGGGGACGCTGCTGTTGCCTCATTTGACACTGGAGCTTAGCAAAGATGAATAATGTGGCCTGTTGGAACTGCAAGGGAGTACTGAACCTTATATAATTTATTCTCTTGCCTTTTCTCAGGGGAAGACCCAGCTCTCATTCTGTCTCCAACTCTGGAGAAGCTGGTGTTCCCAGTGGGCCAGTGTCCTAGGGGACGTCATTGACTGTATTGGGGAAGGCACAGCTCTACAGAACCGGCTGGTTGAGAGGTTCTTGCTGACCTACTTAATCCCATACATGCTTCCAACTAGAGCCTCTCCCATCCTGGTCTCTGGGATCCCAGCCTGCCCAAAACATGGTGCTCTATCAAAATGCACTGCCTCCCGGAATTAGGGAAACCAAGATAGGGGGAGGGTCTCAAGCTGGGATACAAAAACAAGGCTTTCTCTTGAAAACAAGATAAGTGTTCCAGGTGCTCTGAGAAGTCAATCATATACTTTATAGTCAGCCAAGCCTCTGGGTGACATGGGCTCTGGAGAGCAGCCCTGGGG